GGGGGGGGGGGGGAAGGAGCTCCATACATCGTGTGTGTGTTCCCTTTCTCACACCACTTACCGTCCCTGTGTTGAGTGTGCCGTTGATGCCGTATATTGTTTCAGAGACAGCATAGTCCCTAACGAAGCTGCCATTCATCAGCAACTCATCCGGCAGATCGTGTGGGTGTGAGGTCAGCATGGCGTAGCACCAGAACCGGATGTTGTTGCTGGACTCAATCGTCACGTCTACTTTGTGTTCGCCGGGCATCAAAGGCGCCGCCAGCTTGGCCGCCATGACGTGGCTGGGCACCACGGCGCCCCCCTCCCTGGCCGCCCTCTCCTCTGCCAGCCCTCTGGTTGTCTTGGTGAAGGCCTTGGTCCGGCGAAAACACTGGTTTGGGGGGTATGCAAGCGTCTTCTCTTTACTCTCCTGAACACGCACACATTCGGGGAAGCACAGGTGAAGGAGTGCGTGCGGCTGCATTGCTTCTGGTCTGTTTGTGTACCGCAGTAGGTGTCTCGAGGATGCTGACGTGCTCCGAGCCTCGGCCACCGCATTTGGTGGCGTTGGCAATTAGGTCGGTGATGTTGATGACGCGGAAGAACTCTGTGCGGTTGTACAGACTCTCGCAGCCGCCATCACAGTGGGACAGATCTGACCAGAATGTGACAGACTCACAGACGTGATAGAGGAATCTCGTGTGGCGAAGAGTCTTACCGTAGCTGCCTTCAGCAGTGGAGTGCGCCACTTGCGAGCCGCAGCGGCAGTGCTGCTCCAGCTGACCCTTTAGGAACACATTGTGGATCTCCAACACAACGGTACTGTCACCACACAGAGACAGAGACAGAGACGTGCGTCAGAAAGCCCTCCTTGTATGGTCATGAACACATCTCGCTCTTCCATACTCGTAATCGGCTTCACAAAGGATGACCCCCTCCCCATCTGGAGCACCGGCAAGACCCGCAATCGTCACCAACCCACTCGCGCGCAGCACATAGTCAGCCGTGGCCTGTTGCACCACCACACCAGCACAGGACAAGTCAGGTTCATCGTGTGATTGTTCGGTAGGTGGAGATGGCTTTACCGGGTTGCATTGGCGTGTGGAGCCGTCCATGTAGCAGTAGGAGCGCGTCACTTTGTAGCTGCCGGTGCCATGAAAGTCCATAGGACCAAACTCCTGATGCACACTCATCACCTGCAGACCGACACAAGAAAGGAAGAGAGGAGAGACGCCAGCCACAATCCACACCAAGACTCAGGTTCTACTGTGATAGTGTCGTGTGTTCCCAAGGTCACCTTGTCACCTCTACATGGGTTGTTCTCACAGTCGGCCTCCCAGACCCCACTGATGCCGTCATCAAAGGCAATCGTACCCGCACCCCGCTCCTCAGACGCTGCACACACGAACCCCAACACAGAAACCACACACCCGTCCCTCTCCAGAGTACACTTGTGTGTGCCTCTCTCACTCAAGGGACCAGGTGTGGTCTCTGGGTAGGCAGTCGACACCACAACAGTCGTGGTGGGCAATGAAGCCGCAAAAGGGGCAATGGCAGGTAAAGTCGTCGGCATGACAGTGGTGGTAGGGACAACAGGGGGAGCAGGGGGAGGGGTCGTCGTCTCAGCCAGCAGCGGTGACAGGGTCGTGCTTGTCGACGGCAACGGCGTGGATGTCGGTGTTGGTGCTGTTGTGGTTGTCAATGGCGCCTCCGTTGTACCGGGGGCACCTGTGGTAGCCTCTGGCTCACCCGTGGCAAACAAATCTGGCACTCCGGCTGCCAGCGGCGAGGGACCCCTGGTGGAAGGCACAGCAGTGCTCGTCGTTGCGGTGGGGGGCGCTGCGGTAGAACTCGTCTGAGCGGGCGGTGGAAAGGTCGAGAAATCTTCAATTTTCAACGATAACGTGGGACTGGCCGTTGATGCGGCAAAGGGAGCCGTGGTAGGGGTGGCAGACGGACTGGGGGTTGTTGGTAAAGGGGTAGTGGTGGTAGGGGGCGGACTGGGGGCGGCAGAGGAGGTCGTGCTACTCGTTGTTGTGCTAGTTGTGGTTGTACTGGTGCTAGTGCTGGTGGTGGATGATGTTGTGGGCATTTGGGTGGTGCTGGGGGCGGCTGTGGACGTCACCGGCGATGGAGGCCCTTGCTGCCGTACGAAGGCGTCAGTCCATGGCGGTGCAGCCGTGGTGCTTGTCGATGGGGCACTTGTTCCTGCGTTGAAAGGAGAGGTGGCAGGGTACTTACTGCTTGAGCCATTCTCTCCCCAGTACACTCACTGACCGAATACAGTGTCGATGATGCCTTTAGAATCAACGGACGCGCTGCGGTACGCCGCTGACTCATGACCCTGCGTCTCCGCTCTTGGGGAAGGCACACCTGCAGCATTGTGACCTCAGATGAACTGCATTGAATGTTCAAGCTACTTTCTAGCCATCTCACCGTGGGCGGATTGCAATGGATCGGCAGCGGCAATGGCCGGCTGGTGATCGAAAGCGCTCAGGAGGCTGGCGGAGCTCACCGCTGGCGGGTCAACAGAATTGCGTGGTGCGGCCGACTGGACCGTGGACGGTGCAGCTGCACCGCCTTCTGAGATCGCCATTGCAGTGGACAGAGGAGATCACAATACAATGTGCGCACAGCTTACGTGGGGTGTTTGCAAAGGAGGGGCTGAATGGGGCATCAATCTGCTGCTGACCTGGAAGTACACACACACATAAATGTTCAGTTGCAATGTTGCAAGCATAGCATTCCCTTACCTGGCAGGTTAGCCATTCGGGGCGGCCCAGGAGGCCCGCCAGGGTCTCTCCTCTCATCCTCGTTCCTCTCCAGTGCCCTTTGCCGCCTCGCGTTGGTCTTCGACAAGACAATGCGGCCGTCAACAGCACGTGTGAGCGGACAGACGAGGCAGAGGACACCCAGCAGCGCCAGCCTGAGGTCCAAGAAGAGCATTGCAGCGACGCCGCCGCTCAGAGAGGTCCAACAGGTCAGGGCGGCTGCGACTGCGGCAGGGACTGGACACCACACTCTTGCAATGTGTCGACAGGCATCGGGGGTCGGGGAGGGAGGGGAACGATTTTGGCCCCACGAATGAGCTCGCATCGGGACCGGTCGGCAGCCTTCTCTCGGCATTATCTGATCTATTTCTTCGTTTTCTCGGCTGGTTCTTGCTTTGTGTGTCGAACTCGATATGAAATCAAACATCCATCAAACATCGACGGCATTTACACAGACCGCTTGGCCAGGTCCATCAAAAACACACACAGCGCCTTACACTTGTCCACACCCCTCTAGACAGGCACCAAAGAGAACACTTCAATGAAAACGACCAGCAGATTATAAACTGACATGACAAATACTCGACACAACGGACACACAGTGACACCCACATGGACACGGACACGGCACACCAGGTGGCCATCGTATGAAGCCAAGGGCACAAGGCGAGACCAACCTCTGTCTCCTTCTCCCTTCGCCCAGCACAAGCCACGCCGCGATCAGCGTCAGTCGCTCACGACACGCAGCAGCTGGATCTCCGCATACGCCTTTCCCTTCGCAAATGAGCTTGACGGCGACCAGAGCTCCTCCGGCACTATCAACCGCCGCACCTCACCCGCGCGCATCGACAGGACTGCCTCAGCGGCCCACTCGTACATGCCGGGGAAGGCGTGGACGATGTTGGTCTGGTGCTGTAGAACGTGCTGTCCCTCGAAGCCATCTTTCCATGATGTGTGGTTGAACTCAACACGGTGGTGTGTCCTTGGTCGTGGTCCGGTGCCTTGTTGGATCACTCTGTAACGCACACCCATCGGCGACCGCAGGAATGAGCTGCGCGTCGAAAAGACACAGGAGCGAGGAATACACATGGGAGCTGGAGGTGTGCGCGTGCACGTACCTTTGTTGGGTGCGAAACACATCAGCGGCAACCTCACAGCCATACATGGCACACGTCTGCAGAACCATGCACGTGGAGGGAAAGACAGTTGACATGCCACACCGCATCGCAGCGCACCCCTTCCTCGTCTGCACACCAGCCTCACCTTTTCAAAGAACCGTTGCTCAGTGCGTGTGTCCATCAGGAGGGGCACCCCAACGCTGCCCAGCAGCTGTGGGTCTGTGGAGTTGGCCGCCAGGCGCTTGCGGCGGTAGAAATCGATGAGCCGCCGAATATGGTCCTCCGACACACCCTCAACGGGCGATGACCACCTGAAAGCAACAGCCAGGCCAGCCACAAGAGACAAAGGCAAGTGGGAGGAGGGGGCTGTGTGGAACGTGGGTGTGTGCAGCTTACACTGAAGCATCGTTTCTCCGCCCAAGCGCCGAGTTGCCCATCTCCTCTGTGGTCGACCGCAGCGTCGAGATTGACTTGCCGTTGACATCCAGGGAGCATATGGGCTCCTCGCCGTGCAGGGGCTTCACGAACGGACCGACGCTCTGTTGCAACGAACATCGGACACAACGACACACAATGCGTCCGTCACAGAGGTGGATTTCTCGGCCTGTGTTGTCGGATGATTCACCTCTATTTCGACCTTGGCCGCTCCCAGCTGCCTGTCGATCTCGGCCTGCTCATGCTCGAAGGCGCGCACGAAGTCTCTCACTGTGCTGAGGAATCCCCCCAACAGCTCATGCTCGGCCTCGGGCCCACACACCTCCCCATCACGGCCCTTCGACGACTCATCAGCTGCGCCTTTGTGCAATGGCGATAAGAGCAGCCTTACGTAGAAGTCGTGAATACCTGCACAGGCAACAGTGGACAGACATCTGGGTGCAGGAGCGTAAGTGTGTTTGTGTCCGGTGCATACCCATGTGGTCTCTCTCGGCCGCCTGGTCTCTCATGTGCTCGACAGCCTCCTTCCCACCCGCATAAATGGCGTCACGGATGGCCTCAAAGGCATGCGGGCAAACATCGAGGAAGATCCTGCTGCTGCCGTCCCGGATGAGCCGCTGATCCCACCGCCCCGAAAAGAGAGCCGCCAGCAGAGTGCCCTCGACGCTCGTCATGTGCTTGCGCTTGACAGATGAATGACAGCCGCCCACATTGAGCTGCAGGATCTCGTTGGACAGATCCGCAGCGTCGAGTAGCACCTTGTTAGTCTCGTGCAAGGCTGCGATCTCCTCCCGCTGTGCCTGCAGGCCCTCTATGGCGAGCCGGACCCTTGTGTCGAGTTGCATGGTCGCCTGCTGGCGCGTGAAGGGATGCATCATCGCCTCACACCAGCATGTAGGCGGATGACGACTGCTGTGATGACTGCTGACAGGAAGGTCAGATCTGAACGAACACACAAACAGACATGCATCTTCTGTGGAGATCTGTCCAGATCTGAGCGCGTGTTGTACCTGAATCGTGTCGTTCTCGCGGGGAGCTCAGAGGCTGCAAACCCTGCACATCAAACCCTGCCAGCTAGTGAACCCAAAACAACCTCCGGCTGATCATCCCAAGGACTTTGGCATCGCCTTTGTGTTGGGCATCAGGTGTGCAAGGACGACAATGGAACAACACTCAAGCATGCTCATTGATGTGTGCTCGGTTTTGTGTGGTTGTCAGGCATCGCTGACAGATCTGTTGCGCCGCGACAAAGGATGGAGGCCGAGTCGGCCGCTGGCCAGTTCAGCGCCCATGCGATTCTCAATCAGCTGCACGTGCCCGTGACGGCCATCGGCGACGCCATCAGCCAGCTGCGCGCACAGATCCGCCAAGCTGACGACGATGCCCAGCAAGAGAGAACCAAACACGGCGCATCGGACCCATCAACAGCATCGCCCGATGACATGCTGCTGCTCAATGTGGGCGGCAGCGAGTGGCGAGTGAAGCGGAAGATGTTGACTCAAGGGGAGGGGGTGGAGGGCACTCTGCTGGCGGCGCTGTTCTCGGGCTGCTGGGACGGGCGACTCATCAAGGACGACAAGCAGCGGCTGTTCCTCAACATGGACTCGGAGGCCTTCAAGACCATCCACACGGCCATCCTCGACGCCGAAACGATGCGCACTTCCCGCAAGGCGGCGTCGGTCAAACACCTGATCGACGACGCGGCCAAGCGGCACCACACCGGTAAGTACTGTAAGGCAACGAGAGGGGACACACTTATCACCAATCCGCACTCATCATTCATTCGGCCGGCTGTTTGTGTGTTGCAGGTCCTCATGACTTTCGGGTCAAGCTGATGATGTCGCATCTCGACAAGACTCCAACAGAGGCCACTTCCAGTGGCAGCGTTGGGACCGACCTGCGGCTGCCCACCACGGGTATCCCCGCCGAGATGGGCGACACCGTCAAGACGCTTGAAGGCATCATGAAGGCCTTCGCCGCTGAGAAGGCCCGGCTGGAGGCACAGCTGCGGGCCGCCAACACACGACGTGACAACCTCAACAAAGAGATACAGGTGACGAGATTGGCACAAAGAGAGAGAGGGGGGGGGGAGGAGGGGGGGGTTGATGCTGCCTGTTGCTCATCTCGTTGCTACCTGTTTGCCCCAGGCCGTCGAGCCCTTCCTGCTGCCTCTGAGTGGCGGTGACCCCATCCGGTCTGTCGACGTGTGTGGTTATCAGGTCATATCGACCACTCAGTCGACTGTGGATACCATGAACCAAGAGCTGACAAACAGATTCGATATGTGAGCATCGACCCATCGAAGCACTCAGTGACAGCGATGCCCACTCGAGGATGGCTGTGTGTATTGTGTGTGTCTTCAGGTGGCCGCGGCCGGTGGATGTGGTGCAGCCCGACCACATCAGCCGCATCGTCGACCACCACCGCCGGCAGCGACTCGGCGCCTCGCCCGCCGAGGCCAACGTGCCGCTGCGGATGGACAACGCCCGAGAGCAGGCGGCCTTCGATGTCAACGCGGCCATGTATGGCGTTGTCAAGACCGACACGCCCAACACACATGGCGCACAGCAGACCAGGTACGCAGATGGACAGAACCAGAAAGGCCTCTGTCGCCATTTGTCCTCTTCATCCACTTTGCAGCGACAGTGATGGCTTCACTGTGACCCCGTTGGGTGTGCGCTATCGCATCGTCACGGAGGGCACCGGCATCTGCGCACGCTTCAAGTTCGACTGGGTTGGGTGGCGCGACGCATTCGACGGCCGGGACAAACTCATCGATCAACGTGGGGAGGTGTGGCGTGTGTCTGATCGGCCTGAGTGGTTGCGTGAGGCGCTCCTGTCGATGAATGAGGGCGAAGTCAGGCAAATCATAGTGCCAGCCAGATATGAATTTTTTCTCCGCTATGTTCAGCTGCGGTTGGTCAGCATCATAGAGTAGGACACAGTCCACACACACGTGGGGGCGGCTGTGTCTGTCACACACTCATGTGTGTGGCGGGGGGCTCTTCACTCGTCGCCTGGCTGACTGTGTGCCTCCGATTTGAGCGAAGGAGTGAGTGAGCTGTCTGTCTGCCGGCCCGCCACGCACTCATGTGGCGGTTTCTGCCTGCTCGTGTGTCCGTTTCCTTTATATTCGGCGTGATGGTGTGAGAGCGACAGAGAGTTTGACGGCGTGAGAGTGACGGTGCGTGAGTGCGTGTGTTGAATGGCTTAATTGGATTGTCCTGACTGTGTGTGCCACTGGCCAAACAGAGAGACTGTGTGTGTGGTGATGGTGGCGTACGGGGGTGGGGATCGCGTACGTGTCTTTCTATGTGCTGTGTGGGCCCGGGGGGTGCAGCGGAACATGATTGTATCGACCGACCCCGGCGCAGAGAGGGATCCCTGTATGTACACATACATACATACATACACATACATCTGCACATGTGTATACGAATAAATATCTACTGCAGATGCGGTGGCGACGACGTGGTGGTACTGTTTTGTTCGTGTTGCGATCGACGTGTTCTTCCCTCTATGTGTTGTGTTGTCTGCGGTCCGACCGACGGCAATGGCACAATGTGCCGTCTTCCTCTCTGTCTGGGTGTGTCCATACTGACATATTCATCCACTTTTCAATCGCGCGGGCGCTTTTGAGCTGTCAGTGAGGGGCATCTATGTGATATCTGCTTTGGTCCAAAGCTGTACCCCTGTGTGCCCTCCCATCTCTGTCACGGTCGTGAGCAGTGCGTTCGGTTCTGTCGGCCACTCTGCCCCCGTCCATGTGTGTGGTGGGAGGCAACACTGAAATGCGGCGGCCAATCAGACAGACAGACAGACAGACAGAAAGCCTTTTTCCATCCACTCTGCCTGCCGACATCCATCCGTGTGTGTATGGTGTGTTTTAACTCTCTCTCCCCCTCTCTGCTCCCGTGTGTGTGCGGTGGGCGGGGCGTCGTTCGGTGAAGTGCCGGCACGTCACACACACCGATGGGCCGGTGATTCACTCCACGGTGCGCCAGTGCTCACACACGGGGGCACCCAAATCACATGGATAGGGGGAGAGAGCGAAAGCTGCCGTGAGATGATGCATCCACCAATCGTGTCTGTGTCGGTCGTGCTGCGCTGTTTGCTTCCGTCGTGCCTCGGTCTCTGTCGTCCGCCTGGCCATCGAGTGGCATCTCATCTCGACGAGCGGCCGGCCGACACAGACGGGCGACAATGGCAGACAGACGCAGCCATTGGACAAACGGCTGAGTGGACGAATTCGTCGCATTGACTCATTTAATGGCTCCTCGGCCGCCTCTCACGCTCATCTGCCGACCGTTCACCCAAACCGATGAATCCGATCTTTGCTTGGACAAAAACATCAGCTCGCAGATCGTCACCACCTTTTTGGCGCTGCTGGTCTCGTTCGGTTTGTCAGTGAGGGCACAGGTGAGCCAACGACAATCACATGGCCGTCGACCGATGACAGAAATGCATCAGTTCCTGCCGTGTGTCCAATATGTGTGTGCAGGCGGTGGTCGTCATCTCACCGCATTCATTGGCATCAGACAGAGGGGTGAGGGAAAGGCACCCACACACACACACATGCAGCACGGGTGACGGGCGCCTCATTGTTGGTGTGTCAGATCTCGTGTGTCTGTTTATGTGGCGCCTTTGTGAGGGCAACTATCAAGATTGATCAGTGAAATCGTCACACAAACACAGAGAGGTCGGCCTGCACACATGAGCGCAGCCCTGGCCAAGCATGCGCCCATCCTTGTGTCTGTCATCACACACTGTCAGGTCCATTAGTGGTTTGTGTGGTGTGTGGCGGGAGGGATATCATCATCGCGTTCGGTGACGGCCTGACTGACTGCATTTCTGTCGCTCGCCCTCAGACACAACAGGTGAGGACACACACACACAGAGAAGGTCTCCGAGTGTTGTGTGTGCTGGTGGGTGAGCAGGGTTGTTTGTGTCGGTGTCCTCTCCATTACCTCTCATTCGTCACGCGTCGCCCTATTCGCATCAGAGCCGCACAGGTACGCCCAATGACACTCTGATAATCAGCCTCACACATGCACACAGACACTCACTTGTGCCCGTGTCTGTGTGTGTGTGCTGGATGCAGACCGGGCATCGTTCGTCGCACCGCCTGCAGTACTGCATCAATCAATGAGCTCGTCTGCGTCGTCTGCGGGTCCCACCGCACCATCGCCGTCGAGCGTCGGAGTGTTTGAGTGTCGTGTGTATGAGGACGGCCGTGGCGGCTACGAGATGGACGTGCAGGGGCGGCGTGTGGCCATCGACCGGTCATTCCACGACCGCATCAAGTTCTGCTCCGCTGACACAGACACGTGAGGGATCTTCACACAGCACAGCACACACACGTGTGTTGATCCTGACTTGGTGTGCCCTCCTGTGTGTCAGGTCACCTGTCCATGACCACAACGAACCACCACCAGCAGCTGCAAGCGGCGAGGGAGCAGTGGCCAGCAGTGGCGACAACCACGATGCCTCGCCGTTCGCGTGCGGCATTTGCTTCGAGGAGGTCACGGAGCCGGTCGTCACGCGATGCGGCCACCTGGTGAGGGAGACCACCCATGATGCACCACATGATGCAGGACACGGGACAGGGTACGTCGCACATGAGTGGTGTGAGTGTGGGGTGTGTCGTGTGCCGCGTAGTACTGCTGGGCGTGTCTTCGCGAGTGGCTGGTCGGTCACCGCATGACGGACTGTCCGGTGTGCAAGGCGGGCGTGACGGTCGACAGCCTCATTCCCATCTACGGCACAGCAGGAGGCAACCAACAAGACCCCCGGTAATCAATCAAACACACCGATATGCCATCTCCCACCCTCTCTCTCGCCCTCATGGGCTGTGTGGCTGCATTAAACAGGCTGCGTGGGATTCCCCAGCGGCCGACGGCCCAGCGGACATCCAACAGCCGCAGGTGTGCATCCCAAGCAAATCGACTGCCCATGACTGCCACACTGATTGATCCATTGGCTCACGTGTCTGTGTGTGTGTGTCAGTGTGGCCAGTGGTGGCGGTGCGCCGGTGAGGATTTCTGCCGGCACCGCTGGACCGCAGCCGAGCGGCACGCAGCAGCAGCAGTCGGCCAACACCACCGCAGCACAGCGGGCCAGGTGCAAAGGAGGACGGACAAGACATACCTCGCCGTCTGTCATGTTTGGTCCCTTCCTTTACAGCAACATTGATGGCTTCACTGTGACCCCGTTGGGTGTGCGCTATCGCATCGTCACGGAGGGCACCGGCAGATGGCCCACGGACACCGACCGCATCAAGTATGACCGCATCGGGTGGCGCGATGCATTCGACGGCCGGGACAAAGTCTGCGAGGACCGTGGGGCGGTGTGGCGTGTGTCTAGTACGGGTTGGTGGCTGCGTGAGGCGATGCTGTCGATGCGGGAGGGGGAAGTGAGGCAAATCATAGTGCCAGCCATCTATGCTGTCTGCTACTTTCAGCTGCGGTTGATCCGCATAGGGTAGGAGAGAGTCCACACACACACACACACACACACGTGGGGGCGGCTGTGTGTCACACACTCATGTGTGCGGCCGGGGGCTCTTCCCTCGTTGTGCCTCGGTTTTGAGCGAAGGAATGAGTGTATTGTCTGTCTGTCGGCCCCCCACACACTCATGCGGCGGTTTCTGTCTGCCGTGTGTGTTTCCTTTTCATTCGACGGGATGGTCTGTGAGAGCGACAGAGAGTTTTGACTGCGTGAGTGCGTGTGTTGGATGGCTGAGTGGGATTGTCGTGTGTGTGTGCTCTCCGTCGGCCTGTCGTGTGTGTGGTGATCGCAGTGGTTTTTATTCTTCTGTCCATTGTGTGTGTGCGTGTGGCGGCGAGATCGACGTGGGGTGTCTATGTCATCTGCCGTGTGTGTGTGCTGACTTTTATTCGACTCGTGTATCTGTTTTTGTGCTGCCAGCGATGACACGACGTGCCGTCTTCGTCTGTGTCGATACTCACTGACATACTTATCCGCTTAGCCATCGCAGGGGCGCTTTTGAGCTGACAGTCTATGTGACAGTGTGCCCTCCCATCTCTGCCATGGACGACAGCAGTGCGTTCGGTTCTGTCGGCCACTCTGTCTCCGTCCATGGGAGGGGGGACCTGGCCTGACCCTGAAACCCTGTGACCCAAACCCTGTGACCCAAACCCTGCAGATCTGCGCGATTGGCTTCCTCCCCAAATCTGGCCTTGGTCTGTCAACGTAGTACGTCGTGCCACATTCACTGTGAATGAGCATGTCGGCGGAGGGTGGAGGACCGCAGCCGAGTGAGGCCACTCCGCTGAAGCAAGGCGGAGGACAAGGAGGAAGGCAGGCGAGGGTCGGCAGGCAGGACACAGCTCAGATCTACTGGACTTTCGGCGGAGCAGGCACTCGCGATGACGTCACTGCGGATCTCCCGCCCGCATCGGCATCGCAGACGAACATCCTGCTTCTGTCCAACAAGGGGAGGGCGGGAATTGACACAACCACCGGATGGCTGTCGACCGCATACACCGCACTGTTGATATGCGGCTGGTATTTCTTCAACACTATTGCCAACGTCGAGAACAAGAGGACACTCAACATGGTGAGTGCTGATGGGTGAGTCGATGACTCATGAATCACTCAACTGAATGCCGTGGGTGGCTGGTTCGTTGTCCCTCGTTGCATTCAGGTGAGTCTGCCGTGTACAGTGTCGGCCATCCAGATGCTGGTCAGCTGGGTGTGGTTCGTCACGCTGTGGGGCACGGGCATCCGCAAGCTGCCGAGGCTCATGTCCTGGGAGGTCTTCTGGGTGGCCATTGTGCCCCAGGCCCTCATGCACATTGGCAACCACGTCACCGGACAGCTCTCATTCGGTACGTAGAGAGAGGCCAGAAAGAAGCAGGCGATCGAGCTCTTCACACTCGCAATGTGTGTCTGTCTGTCTGTCTGTGTGTCCGTGCAGCGGCAGGTGCCGTGAGTTTCACCCACGTGGTCAAGGCCAACGAGCCCGTCTTCACCGCTCTACTGTCGATGGTTCTGCTGAAGCAGACGTTCTCGATCTGGACGTATCTGTTCCTGCTTCCCATCATCTTCGGTGTGGCATTGGCCGCCCTGAAGGAGCTCTCATTCACGTGGATCGGCCTGTGGGGCGCCATCTTCTCGGCCCTCTTCTCGGCTCTCAGGAGTGAGCAAAGGACGACTGACACAGCCTGACAGGGGCGGTAGGGATGCATCCGTGTGTTTGTGTGTGGCAATGGGTGGTGGTTCAGGCGTGTATGCTAAGCGTGTGATGTCGGACAAGAAGGCTCTGGGGGAGAATATGACACCTGGGAACATATTCTCTCTGCTCACAATCGTCAGCACGGTCAGCAAAACATTCACTTGTGATGGAGCCACAGATGGGTCGTTTCGTCTCATGTGCCATGTTGGTTCAGTTCCTGTCGCTGCCCATAGCGCTTGTGGTGGACTACCACGAGCTGACAAGTCCAGAGGGCGCGTGGGCCGAGGGTGTGCGGGAATACGGCTGGGACACCGTCATCTGGTCAGCCGCACGGTCCGGCCTGTTCTTCTACCTTTACAACGAGACCGCTTTCATCGCCCTTAGTCGGTAGGTACACATAAACACGTGTCCGTGTGGGGATAACCACAAGCACATCCTCACGTGTGTCCGTGGCTGTCTGGTGTGCGCGCTTGTTCATTGATCAGTATACATGCCTTGACGCACGCCGTGGCCAACACGCTGAAGCGTGTGGTGGTGATAGTGACGACCGTGATAGTGTTCCGCAACCCCATCACGCCCCTGGGTGCGATAGGCTCTGTCATCGCCATATTTGGCACGCTTGTGTGGTCGATTGCCAAGGCGAAGCTGGGGTAGATGGGCCGAGCACACATTGGCTGTGTGGCTGATTGATGCATTGACGTGCTTCTCGGACGAGCTTTATAGGAGCGATGAAAGATGTGTGCTTTGCTCGTGATGTGAGACGGTCATCGATCACTCAAGTCGAAAACGATGAACGCATATGCAATCAGACGAACACCCTGTCAGCAAAGTTCCCCCCACACATCAATATGCACATCAACAAATACATCAGACATCAGACACATCAACATTGCCCCGCCCTATGCTGCGGGCTGTATGTTGGCCACGGCTGTGGTGGTGGTGTTGGCGATCTGTATGCGTCTGGTGAGCGTCATGAGTGTGTGCAGCAGGGGCTCCACACGCGTCTCCCACTGGACGATCTCCGTCTGGATGGGGTGCAGAGCACACCCCAGCCGCACACACAGCTGAACCAACTCCCAACACAACAAACACGACGGCACGGCGGGGCCCAGCTGCAGCACACACGATGGCAAAAACCGGCGCTGAACGTGTCTTTGAGTGTGTCTGGCCGTATCTGTGTGCTGACCGTTCGGACTTGGTTGTCAAGTTCGCCCCTGAGGCGGTCCAAGTCAGCCGACGACAGACACTCGGACAACTGACACACACACGTACTCGTGCAGAGGTGTGTGTCCAATTCATGTGAGTCAAGTGCCTGACCTCCAGCAGTACCTACCTCTTGTTCGGTCATGAATCTGTCCTCGTTGACGCTGAGGTCGTCGCTCTGCGTGTGCTGCGGCACAATGGCCTCCATCCCTGGCGGCGGCTGCTGCTGCTGCTGTTTGCCCTCCTCTACAGCCAGGTAGGGCGGGAAAGATAGACAGGAAGGTAGAGAGACACGGCTGGTTGTGTGCGTGTATATGGGTGGTGTGTGTACCTGGCTGTTGGGTGCCGTCGGTGATCTGCGGCTGCTGTTGTGGCTGTGGCTGTTGCTGTTGCTGCTGCTGTGTTTGTTGTTCGCCCTGTGCTTGGGCATTCTGCTGGTGTTCTGTGCGGGAGCTGCTCGGCTGCTCGCTGCTGGACGTGCCTGCACACACGTGAGGATGCATCTGTCCTCTTCTCTGTGTGCGTCTGTGTCGGCCGACCGTCGTTTTTTGTCTTCTGTCTGGCGAACGACTGGTTGATGAGCTCAGCCCCGCGAGACAGCAGCGAATCGACCGACGCGACACGCACCAAGGCAACTGACGATGATGGAAACATCAGACAGATGCACTCACAGACTGGCTTTGTGTGCGGCCTTGTGAATGCGTGTGTGTGTGCAGGGACCTGTCTCATCGCCGCCGATGTCACACGGCTCCGCCAGGAGGGAAAACAGAGAGCGAAATGAACCTGCTTGCTCCTGCATACCAAACCACACCAGCACCCAGGCGCGTGTGTGTGAGTGTGTCCCTAATGTGTCTCTGCGTGTGCATGCCTTGATGAATGCGAGGCCCTCAGGAAGATTTGGGTGTGGCAGGTCTGCCTGCGTCTCCAGGGCGTCAGCACATATCGCCTCACACGCGGGCACCAGGCAACCTGACACACACACACACACACACAAACAGAGGGCTTTGTGCATAGAAGTAAGACGCACTCACTGCCACAGAATTGGAAGAATATTTCGTCAGTCTGCGGCTTGGCATCATCCGCGAGGGGCACCGACATCGGCACCACACACGACACACGGACCAGCAAATCCTGGCCAATCGACGAAACAGAGGAAAGATGGAGACACATCCAATGATAAGCATCCATTCGGCGTGTGTGGTGTGTGTCTCCCTCTCAGCTCACGATGAAGAGGGGCAGGTCGACCGGCTGTGACAACACAATCGACGCACTGCTACTGCCCACATCTGGCAGAGCATCCTACAGACACACACACGACACACGCACACACCAAACCCTGCACGGATGTGTGGGCACACACACGAGCGTCGTCTCGTCTCAGGTCACCTGCCCCCTTTCACCAGCGCTGCTGGTGTCTCTGTAGAACATCATCAGGTGGTTGAGTGAGAGCTTCATCGGCAGCAAGTGGGCTCGCTTCAGCAGATGCGCAAGGTCGCCCACACACATGGACGGCACCTGCTCATCGGACAGCTCAGGCGACTGGCCGAACAGCACATACACAAAATGCACGCAAATGCATCCGTATCTTTTGTGCGAGTATTTGAATCTGCACGCACCAGCAGCGTGCATGTGTCGAAAAGCCCCCTGATGACGGCGAAGAACTCCCTCACGACGTCTGATAGGCACTCGCGGCTGTCGGGCGGCAGCCACGACAGCCGCATATTCTGCCACGTGACCTCCAAGAGAGGATCCACCACTGACACATACATTCATTCAAAAGCTGTGTATGTGTGCTGGCCGTCTGTGGGACACGGTGTGAGGTCATGTACCGTCTTCCAGGGCCTCGTCTGCGGCTTCCTCTGCTGTGTCTGGGACACAAACAGCTGACAGAGCGGCGAAAGAGGGAGAGAGGGGGATGCATACCCAAACAGAGTGTGTGTGTGCGTGAGAGAGAGAGCCTGCCTGTTGGGTCTTTGTGTATGGGGCAGTCCCATGTGAATTCGAGGGTGTTGTAGGCCGCCGACCTCGTCTTGGGCAAGCTCTCCGACAGCGACTCCTTCCCATCCTGTGTGTATGCATGGATCCATTCACACACGCATGTTGTTTGTGGGTGTCTGCGGCCATTCACCTCCATCACAAATTTGAAGGTGCATGAGCCTGGCACGGACTTCTGCACACAGAAAGCAATCCCCATGTCGCACTGTATTCTTATGTGTGAGTCTCCCTAAGCCCACCCGCACAGCGATCCATTCGAACTGGCCTTCATTGATCTCTATCGGCTCGAGGGGCAGCTCGAAGGGGCCACCATACACTGACTGCGGATAGATGTCATCCCACTGACATCGAATGCCACACACGCAAACTACGCTGCTCAGATGGTATGAAATGTACGTCTGTCGTCTCACCTTGTTGCTGACGGTGTACTCGCCGACCACTTTGACAGGGATGCTGGCGGAGTTGCTCTGATCCACATCCCACCTGCGTGCGCACACACACGTCCCCCCATCAGCAAGCATCAGTCCATCCATACTTGATGGTAGCCTCCATGAGGTGGCTGTCGGCGCCATACGAGTCGTCCATCCACTGGGCCGCCTCCTCCTCATCATCGTCATCCCCGCTCGGCGGACCCTGCACCGACAACGGCGGGCGGCCGGCGCCATAGCCATCGCCCACGCCGTCCCTGAGCTCCACAATGACCGTGTCGCCGTCGGCAAACACGCTGTTCAGCACTGTCCGGGGACGCAAAAGCTTCCCATCCTGTCAATGCATACACAAATGCGGGGAGACACACACAAACAAGGGGAAGCATGTATGTGTGTTCACCTTTGTGGTGACTCGTTTGGGCAGGAGCAGCGGGTGCGGGTAGACGGCCTTCTGATACTCGAGGGCTGTCACCAGACCCAGCCAACGCACATGCTGGTCACCTGCAGACACGCGAACATCCGCGCATCTCGGCGTTTGCTCCTTTGTCACCGTGGCCAACGTAGATGTCGAAGCACTTGCTTTTGCACTGCACTTTCAGCCGCATGTGCGGCCTCTTGACACCATGCTTCTTCCCACTGATGATATCCATGGTCGGGGGTGAAGGGGGAAACATGGCTGGGGGCGGCCCCCAGCTTTTGGCTCGCAGATCGCGTGGTCCGCCAAATTGGATGCCGCTGTTTCCCCCCTCCGCTATGCGTAGACACCACAACGTATCAGATGCCAGCAGCAGCAGCAGCGAGCTCGTCCAGGAGACCTACCCACTGACATCCTTCGCTGAGAATGAAAGCAACGGGAGCTGCTGTGACGCCAACGGGGAGGTGAGAGACGATGCACAGGCACATGCTCACCTTTTCTCACCTGCTGTGTGCGTTTCAGGTGCTGGGGAATGACATCGAGAGCCCCTTCTCCCTATCGCTGCAGCACGAAGAGGAGATTTCAAGGCATAGAGCAGAGATTAGAAGGCTGCAGGAGGTCAGCCAACCACACACACACACAGACACACGCCTACATAGTTTCCCGTCTTCGCAATCTCTGCGGGTTCTCAGGTTGTTCGCCTTCTGGAGCGGCAGCGGCAGGGCGGCGTCGACGGCCGTGAGATGGGCGATATGGGCAACGTGGACGGTACCGCAATATCGCACGACAGGAGGTACGTCGCACCCTGTCAGGATGAGCATGCTGTCGTGTCCGTTGGTCAATGCGTGTGTCTGTGATGCTCTTTCTCGCTCAGGTGCGGTTCCCACTGTCCGCCTCCCCCCTCCACTCCCACGCATATGACCGACTCGCTGGACATATTCTGGTGTGGATGGGCAGGCAGCACGACCATACATCTCTGTGCGGCAGCAGTGGGTGTACGTGTGTCTTGTCTGTCTGTCTGTCTGCTGTGGCGTCAGGCACCGTGTGTGTTGGCTGGTGGGTTTGTTGCTGCTGCAGTCGACCAGTAGCTTCATCCTCAAGCGATTCGATGCCCTCATACAACAGCACCCCGTCGTCGTCTACTTCCTCACAATGGTAATACCCACATTCACACGCTCACACGGATAGACACAAACACGCACAACGTGCGTCTGGTTTCTGCTGTCAGCTTGTGGGTGCTGGCGGCAACACGGGCGGCCAGAGTGCCGTCCTGGTCATCCGCGGCATCGCTGTCGGCAAGATTCCGACCGACAAGGGCCTATGGCGCTTCCTTCTATCGCAATTGTGGACCGGCGTGCAGCTGGCCACTTGCCTGTTCCTGGCGTCGTTTATACGGGTGTTCCTATTTGACATCACTCTCATCGAGTCGATGGCCATTTGTACCAGCATGTTCGTGATCGTCCTGACCAGTGCTTTGTTGGGGACGCTGCTGCCTTTGGTGCTGCGGGCGTGCGGGGTGGACCCTGCCCATGCCAGCGCGTGTATACAGGTGCTGATGGATATACTGGGGGTGGGATTGACGTGCCTTGTATCGTACGTGTGGCTGAACCAGCTAGCGCCTTTTCTAGAGAGTAGTAGTGGTGGTGGCGGTGATGATGTGGTGAATAGCAATACTAGTGAGATGTCGGCTGTCGATAATGACAGGAGGACCATCCTGATCAGACACAAGATGCTCACTCAATAGCTCAACACACCTCAAACAAACCTTCAGCAGTAGCGTGTTCTGCGCTTGGCACAGGAATATCTATCGTCATCATTGTCTGTCCATTGGAGCGCAGCGTCTCTACTTCAGATACTCACTCTATGTCAAGCAGTTCAATTTCGAAATACCATTCACTTCTCACACATTCATTGCTGATTACGGGCCTGACTTCGCCGACCCTCATGGACCAAAGCATGGCGTGCTCAAAACCCTTCGGGGACCGTTGGCAGTCCTCGAGCGTCCTGTCGTCTTCCTCCCTGAATTCGCTGTTTCTTTCGCCTGGGAACCCGTGGCCCCACCTCTTTATTTTGTACTTGACAGTGTCGCCGGATGTCGGACACGCGCCAGTGCCGCGTCTGACGACCTGATACATGCAGTTCCCATGCCGGGTGAAGGTGCTGTCGTCGTAAAATGTCGAATTCACCCCTCCATCCCCAACACTGAAACAAATGCAGCAGCAGGCAGCGATCTGTTGTTGCCATGTGTCTGTATGCATAGTTACATCTCTCTGCGCATCTTGGGGATGTCGATATCGGTCAAGACCATGACTTCTTTCCAATCCTCTTTACGAATGGGCCGCCACTCGCCGCCCACATTGACAATGAAGCCTCCTGTCTGATCGATGTGGGCGGGGCTGCCCCGGAAAAGACCCACAGCTGCAGCTCTTGCGGGATACCTCACGTGTGCGCTCGCGCTGATGCACCAACGATTCACACGCAGCAATGAGGGTTGTTGGGTACGGAATCGACCTAGATCCTCCTGGTGTGTGTGTGCACCTGATTTGCGGCAGGCCCGCTTCGATGTTGACGTCGCCAAACCTACCGATGTGTTGCCAGCATTTCTGGGGGAAAGGTCGCCGCTTGCCGTCCACGTCGACTTGATAGCCGTCGGCAGTGTCGAAGTACACGGCGCAGCCATGCAGGAGGCCTACCGCTCTGTCCGTCCCGGACATCGCCAAAGCCACACCTGCACCAACACAGCCACGTGGAACTCGTCAGGCATCCCTCATACATCCATCCATCCATCATCCTCAGCCCCATTCTTACGAGATGGTCTCCTCCGTGATCTCAGCAGCTGTGTGCGGCTCGTGTGAGCCGCGGTGGGCACTTGAAGTACCTGGAAGCCGCTGATACCATGAGGGGCCAACGCCAGTATCGCAAGATAGAGAGCCGCCATCCCTTCCTTGTAGCGACGGCGTGTCTTGTCGATGACGTTTTGTGTCCGGCCTCGCAGCTCGATGAGGTCACTTGGTAGCGATGCGCCCTATTGGGAGCTGTCGTGCCCTCTTCTCGTGCCCCACGAACCGGAGAGAGACCTTCGCGCAGTGACGAGCAGTTGTTGTCGAGGGAGGCTTCTTCGCCCTTGGTGATGAGTTGTTTGGCTCTAAAACGATAGATCCCTGCACTCTGTGCGCTGGTGCTTGCCGCAAGAAGCTGGGAAAGGCTCTTTCCGCCTCTTTCTCCCCTCCAATCCCGATCGAATCAAAAGCTCGCCGATGACTTCCAGGTCTCGCGGCGTCATCTCCCGTCTTTGGCGGGTGCTATGGACCGCAATCAGGCGAACAGCTGCAGGTATGCTTCAATTTCACTTAAAACATATCATCAACAGTCATGTGTTCCTTTCCCTTGTGCCACTCAGCACATCGGGCAGTGAGCAAGACAGCGAGAGCTCCGAGAAGGCCGTCCCCTCACTGCGCCGCAGCCCCCTGGGCGTGTCGTATCAGGTGCTGCGCGAGGGCAACGGGCCGCAGCCACAACACCACCACCGCGTCAAGTATGACTTCAAGTCGTTGGATGCCTTCGGCGGCAAGCTCAAGCAGCCAGAGCTCAAGGGCGTGGTGGCCGCTATCAGTGAGGTCAGCACACGCACACACAGACATATGCACAAAGGCGAGCACGTCTGTGCCTGTGTGCAGGTTCACTCCAAGTGGCGTCGGGAGGCATTGTTGTCGATGCGGGTGGGGGAGATACGCCGCCTGATTGTGCCGCCGGAGCTAAATGAGCTGTCCCAGGACACGAGATACATCGAGTACAAACTGCTCGCAATCATTTGACCATACCACTCACTCACAAACAGATGACACTCGTGGGGCGGTGTGTGTTTTTCACTCTCGTCGTTTTTCCACGGCCAGCGGGGCAAATTTTCTGTGGAGATGGTGGTCCGTGCGTCGACTACCTAGCTGATTCAGCATGTGAGTGGTACATGAGTGTATCAGTTTTCCAGTCGTTTGAATCGTCGGAGAGCCAATTTTCGAGCACTTCTGTGTGTGTATACGTATTGAGCGTTGGTGAGCGTGTGTGTGAATACAGCCGCATTGACGCGGCAAGAGAGGGTCATTTCTCGTCCGAGTGGCCCATTTTTCCTCGTGTGACGTGTGATGGTGTTGCATGTCGTTTAGCGGGTGAGTAGCCTTGATGTAAGGACGGACGGTCGGACACACCTTCAGACATAAAATCCGTCAGCAGCCACCCATGTATTCGCTATATCGCGAGGGATACACAATGCAAACAACAAAACAAATCGAGCCGCAGGTACGCAAAAAGAAAAATAGCCATCCGCGACATCAGGACGGGCACTGAAAAAGAGTCTACTCTGTCACAGCATTCATTCGTCACTTGGTCGCCGCCTTCTCCTCGTCCATCTGTCTCATTTTCCACTCTGTCCACGAGCCGTCGTAAACAGCCACCCCCTCACGCTTGCCCACCAGCTCCAACGCGAGAGCTATGATGGCGGCGCTCACACCCGAACCGCACGAACACACCTGCACACACACACACACACACACACACAGCGCGGTGCTTTGCGCGCCGTCTTGGCGGTTGATTGGCGTACGATAGGTTTGTCGAGGTCGACGTTTGTGATATTGAAAGCGTCCATGAGGGCCTGCTTGTCCTTGTATGGCCCCTCGGGGGTCACCAAATCGCCGAAAAACAGTGACTTGGAGTGCGGCATGTGACCTTGGTTACACACACAGACACCACATCCATCCATCAAAGCATGGAGGGGAACGAAGTGCGAGTGTCTTCACTGCAGACCCGATGGCAGGTTCGGTCTTGGCTCAGGCTCCTTGCCCTCGAAGCGGTTGAGTGGGCGTGCGTCAAGCATCTGCTCAACCCCTGATGTCATGCCCTTGTTGTAATTATCGATGTTGGCGTTGATGTCCTCATAGCTGCGCAGCATGTGCGCCTGTGTGCTGATGGGCAGGGGCGGGGCGGGGGAGGGCAACGGGGCAGGAGGGCTGTCGTCCGTGGGGTAGCCGTCACTCAGCCACTTCTTCAGACCTGACACACACCACCCAAAGACACACACACAAAGAGAGGGCATGATGACGTGCATCTCCTGTCTGTCTTCCATCGCACAGCACCTCCATCGAGGACGCTGACATTCGGCAGGCCAAAGAAGTGGAACATCCACCACAAGCGGGGCGCCGAGAAGATGCCGATCGAGTCGTAGCACACCACATAGTCGCCGCTCTGCACCCCAAGTCGGCTCGTGTGCTCAGAGAACTCCATGGGGGAGGGCAGCATATGGGGGTAAGGCGATGACTGGTCGGCCACCTCGTCAATGTCCACAAACATCGCGCCGGGGATCCCTGATGCCATGCAACGCACACAGACATCCATCCATCCATCCAGCCATCTATGATGCTCCCCTGTGCAGATCTGCCTGTCTGTGTGCCCACTTACTCTGCGCAACGAACTCTTTGTAAGCGTCGCGGCCGCCAAACACCGGCAGCTTCAGCCAGCTGCAGTCGAACAGCTTCAGATTGGCGGGGAGAGAAGCCGGCACAGTGCTGCTGCCCTGCGTGACGCCCAGGCGGGCTGCCAGGTCATGAGTCGAGATGAGTGGCGGGGCGCTCTTTGTTGACATGGACATAAACCGCACTGATGGACGGGCGAGCAGGGGAGCGGCGAAGGCGAGGAAGCGCATTGGCGTTTGCGAGCCAAGCTTGCGCAGATCTGCACGTCGCGTCGAGAAGCGGAACGCTTCCCAAAGGTAAGAAGGACCATGAAGCAGCACACCGAATCGACCGCTGCACATGCTTATGTAAAAATCTTGCTGCCTTGCGTCATTGCCGTCCGCAGATCACGAGATGTCTGGGAATTCACGTGGGAATTCGCCTGTCGGTCACCGGCTGTCGCAGAGCAGCCCGCTCAATCAGAACAACCAGGCATCCGGCCAGATCAAAGGCATAGACGCACTTCGCGGACACGTTCATGCGCACGAACATCTGTGTGTGTGGATTTGTGCGGTGTGTCTATCAGCTGTGCTTCGCGAGCGCATCGACCCCGAGCTGTCGGCGCTGTTTGAGGAGACGGAGGATGTGGTGCCCTACGTGAGGGCGGCGGCAGAGAGGGGGCCCGACCACGTCCTCAGGGCCGCACAGCTGCTCGAGAAGGCCGTCAACAGAATCGACTCTGAACTGCACTCCGAGGTGAGTGAGCTGACGAGGGAAGTCCCTGGTTGGTGCATGTTCTTCACACAAATGGGTGTTGTGTGTGTGTGTGTGTAGGTGGTTGCGTGCCACGAGCATCTGTTGCAGAATGTGAGTTCGATAGATGACCTGGACCGGGAGCTGGGGGCAGTGCGGCAGAGCGTCGACACCATCAAGGACACACTCATGCGGTGCGTGCCGGACAGTGCGAGAGAGACAGAGATGGATGGATGGATGGATGGATGGGTCTCTCTTTGTGTGTGTGCTTTGTGCACTCCACACAGAGTGGAAAAGGAGACCCTCGACCCTTTCAAAGTCATGAAGCAGCAAGTGGAGACTCTCGAAAGGTGTGTGAATGTAAATGGCTTGCAGACAGACAGATGCACGCAACTGCTTGATGTGGGTGTGTCGAGTCAGGTTGTATGCTGCCAGCGACCTGATCCGCAGCGTGTTGCGCTTCAACCTGAGCGTGAAGAAGCTGAGGGCACAGATGGACCCACACACACCCGACATCGCAAAAGCGGCGCAGACACTCTTCGAGGTGACCTGTGGAAGACAGACGAACACTTGCCTGTCAGTGCGCGTACATACGCATGTGCCCCTTCCAATGGTCGCTCAGATGGAGGGCCTTCTCAACGCTGGCAGAGGAGCAGGCGGCCTTCCAGAGGGAGGTACGTGGATCTGTGCTATGATGCAAGAAACGAGATGCGTCAGCTGCTATGAGCGCGTGTGGACTCGTGTGTTTCTCTCTCAGGTGTTCCAAATGCATCGCTGCTGAGCACACTGTCCGCCGAGGCGCAGTGGGTGCGGGACCTGTCTAAAGAGATACGCGACCAGGCCAGGACCAGACTCAGAACAGGCATGCGCAACCAGGTACCAGCTGCCCTCACCCCCCTCCCCCCAACTCACTCACACACAGAGCTTCCGCTATGTGTGTGCCGTGTCCAGAGCAAGTTGGATCTGAACGTGGCGTGTCAAGTGTTTTACAACCTGAATTGCCTCGGTGAGCAGCTCGAGGGGGCTCTCGCTGAGCAGGTGGCAGAGGTAGACGACAACTTCAACGTCAAGGTATGCTGCCAAACCCATAACACACAACACACAACGTGTTAGTTAATCTGTTTGGTTGATGCGTTGTTTGATGCAGCCGATTCTGAACGCTTCTGTGAGCGGTCAGCTGACGGCCTTTTGGGGTCAGCTGACACACTTCACCACCGCACTGCACACTGCCGTGAAGCGAATGGTCGTGCTAGACCAAGTAAGAGCGAGAGAGAGAGGCACCAGCACCACATCAGCTTTCCACACCTTTCTGCGATCATGTGTATGTGTAGGTTGTGTGGGCGAGTGCCGATGGGTCGGAGGGCCACCTGCACTACCGCTTCGACGAGGTGCTCGAGGACAGGGGGCTCGCGCCGTCCCTCACCGAACACTTCTGGAGGAGACTCATGCAGAACCTCAGCAACAAGGTACACACCTGCACTGCACTGCACCATCAACAGAATCATGTGCCAGCTGCATGTGTTGGCTGCCATTCCACAATTACAGATGGTTCAGCTGGTAGGCGCCTCGTCGACCTCCCTGCTAGATGCGCGTCAGCGGTCTCTGCGGATGTCGCTGGCCAGCGAGTACCCAAAGCTGCGGACCATCCTGCTGGAGGTGCTGCAGCAGCTGCAGCCCACATCCAGGGTGGGAGGGGCCGTGCGGCAGATGGTCATGAGCGGTGTGACAGTGGGGGCGGGGAGACGATCGTCGGCTATCGGTGAGTGGGTGGGTGCGGTGGGTCAAGTGGGATGGATGGTTGTGTGCACGGGTGTGTGTGTGTGTGTTCAGGTTTGCCTGAGCGTCAGCATCTGCTTGGGGTGTTCGATGGGCTGCGGCAGGAGCACATGAAGGGGCAGATGGACTCCTCACAGTGACTAATTCGCAGGATGGTGGGGTCAGTACGCGTCATGGACCCGCTGGGATCGAGTGGATGTGTGATATGTGAGATGTGAGACATTGATCAGCGGGACTGTGCGTACTCCGTCTGAACATACATTAACCAGCCAGACTGTCTGCTCGGCATTGCAATGATGTCTGGCCACCAGTTGAATCGACACCCAGTCAGTCACCAAGCCACGTGGTGTGGGGACACTGTGCGGCAAGTTTGCGGATTGCTGGACCATATATGGCCATGGCCAGTATCCCTACACACCCACTCACTCACTGAGTGAGTTAGCAATCCATCTCACGCAGTGACATAACACACATCTCCGCGAGGAGTGCAGCAGCTGGCCGAACAAACGTTTGAATGCCGAGGTCAGACGGACATCGATGCCTGCCTGACTAGATCCTAGACAGATAGATAGAAACGGATGGATGGATTTTGGTGTGTGTGGCGTCTGTGAATATACGTGTGGTGACTCTTTAGCCGTACAAAGTCGTCACAAGGCAACGTGCACGCCACGTCAGTCCATCCACGCACGTATCACTGTCAAGTGGACATACACACACATTCATACAGATGTCTGTATACACACGCCTCTCCCCTGGCCGGATGAATGACGCTAGAGCACGAACAGCCAGCCCTACACACCCTTATACGGAACCCCCGATATCCTCGGTCAGTGTCACGTGTCCTGGTGCTCTGTCGATGTGGCTGAGTGGCGTGGCGGCGGTGAGGGCGCCATGAAGGCCGGCAGGGGGACGTCCTGTGGGGCAGGCGGGGACGGCTGTGGGGCGACGAGGACCAGCTCCACGTGGTCACCGTCCCTGAGGTGCTCGTTGGCCGAAACGAGAGCTCCTTCCGCAAACAGCCGGGCCTCACGGACCGGCCGATCACCGAACCCAAACCTCTCCAACACCTTCCTCAGCAGGTCATCAAAACTCTCAGGCACCTCCTGCAAAAGCAAAAGAAGCCACAACCACAACCACACACACAAGTAGGTAATCGTTAGAGACCGACGAACAAACGTCAGTCGTGGCGTATGGATCGCACCTGGTGGAGGGTGGGGCGAGTGGAGCCGCGCAGTACGACACTAACAGTGAGGCGGCTCGTGGTCTGCTGCTGCTGCTGCTGCTGCTGCGCGGCCCTCTCCATCTCCTCCCATTCCCTCCTCATGGCCTCCTCGCAGCGGCGGTTGTGCTCGGCTGCAACGCGGTACGTCTCCCGGCACTCGGCGAGCTGCACGTATGTATCCAACACACACGCACACACAGGGGGGCAGCTTGCATGGCACGGCGCGTGTGGCTTGGTCAGTGGGTGGCTGCTTACGCTGCGCTGTGTCTCATCCCACTCCTCGGCGGTGAAGAGGAACCGCTTGGTGCTGAAGTCGGCGGGGTTGTAGTGCAGCGGCGCCTGACGAAGCGTCAAGTAATTAATGAGGGCCACTCTCTGCCTTGCTGTCCTAACGTGATGTTGTGGTGCGTACCGGGTGCGGGCTGGTCTGCAGCGGTGCCTGAGGAAAGGAAAGCGTCAAAGAATGAGGGCCCCTCTCTGCCTTCGCACCGTCTGCATGTGAATCGCCAGCAGCGACGCCATGGCCTGTCTCAGACCGTAGTTGGGGCGGACGTCCGCCTCCGCAGTCTCCGCCCTGATCGACCGATGCCCACACGAAGGAGGGGCAAGCAGAGGCTATTCACACCCATATGTGTCGCCTCCATGTGTCTGAGTGTACCTGCATTCGGGGCACTTGGCTGCACGACGGCCATGTGGGTGTGTGTCGACGAGCTCCCTAACGCACTGCAGACACACACATGGCATGCAATTGTCGCCAACACCATCTCTAGTGCCCACTCACCGCCGCACAGACGGAATGACCTGAGCAAACAGAAACCGCCAATCAAAGACGACACCACACAGCCACACTGATCATCGTCCTGTTGCCTTGTGTGCGGTGTGTGTGCATTGCTCACCGCATCTGAGGACGTCGGGTGCCTTGTCGCCGTGCGATTGGTATTCCTCGTAACACACACTGCACTTGGGCATACTAACACCGCCACCAGCACCACCACCACCAGCAGAGGCCGCCATTGTGATGCAGCGGCCTGCAGGAACCAAAGATACACACAGAGGCATCCATCCAAGCCGCGGTGGATGGATGGATGGATGGATGAGTCCATTGAATCATCTCACCCGCAGCTGATGTGCCCTCCGTATCTTTCCTATCGCCCTCAGCCAGCTGCGCCCATCCACTGGTGCGCCTTAGATATGCAGTCATTGCAGAGCCAATGTGTGTGGCCGAGAGTGTCTGTTGGCCTCACTGCAGCCCTCACCTGGCCTGATGGAGTGCAGCCCTCGCCTTAATCGCCCAGTCGACAGGGCGGCGGTGTGATCCACTAAGCCGCTCTCTCAGCCGAATGCGCCACACTCCCAACGCACAGCTGTCCAAAAGGCACACAACGTCGCCAAACACTCCGGTTGAGGGTTTGGAACCCCTACCCTTTGACCCCTCAAACCCTCCTGCTTCTGCAGCCATGCGTTGACAGCTTGGCACGACTGGGGCGGCTGGTGGGACGATGGCCGCCCAGGAGCATCCCGTCAGCCACTTGTTTGTCGGCAGCCGAGGCCATCAGCCCGACATCGTCACGACGGCCCGCCTGAGGGCCACATCGCGGCGCATCCGGGCTGCCTTCACCATAGCCGAGCTGCGCACCCGCCTCGTCAACTCACTGAGCCGTGACGGCGATGGCATCAACACTCAGCAGCCGCAGCTGGTGCAGTTCGACCCATCGCTGGGATGGGCAACCTCATGGCGGCGGTGTGGGTAGCCGAGGAGGGCGGGCGGTGGGATGAGACGCGGGGGGTGCTGCAGTGGGCCAGCCAGTGCCGCTGCTGCACGCTGCCCCTCAACCTGACGGCCGATGACATTCGCACACACACCAACAAGACGGTAAGGCACACACAGAGGGCGGGTGGGAGAGAACAGAGAGGCCGCATTCCCTCTCTCTGTCTGTGTGTGTGTCTGTGTGTGGTGTGGTGTAGGCGTATGGATCGTTAGCTCGTGTGTTGGCGCAGCTCAAGATGGTCGGCCGCCACGTCCACTTCAGTGACGGCACCTGCCTGCAGCTGTTCCACCACGGCAACGGTGAGGTGCGGGCCATCGTCGACGAGCCCGGCTTTGAGCTGGGGGTCGACCCGCCCCTCCCTGCCGACCATCTGGATCAGCAGCACCGACAGCAGCATGACCCACCAGTGCGCAACCGCATCTGCTACTCTGCCACCGGCAGATGGCGGGAGATGCGCTTCACGTACACCGATGCGTCATTGTCGTCCTTCGCCAGGGACAAGATCATCCACCACTTCAGGCGCACTCACCAGACCAATGGCACATGCATAGGACTCAACAGGTAAGACACAATGGCACCAGTGGGCGAGAGGAGTGCGTGTGTGATTGTGTGTGTGTGTGGTTGGTTCAGGCGTGTTGGTGGCGGCCGTCTGGATGGCCTCCTCACCCAGTCGCCCCACACACCGGTGGCCGGCTGCTCGACGACATTCAGCTACGACGCTGATGGCATCGGTGATGTGCGAGAGCTGGTGCTCACCGACGACAGCCACAACTTCGTCGCGTGGATCATCCTTTTAGATCCGGGGGACGGCACCGGTGCTAGACAGGCAGCTCTGATGGTCACATGACCAATGTGTGTGCTCTTTTTCTTCTTTTCCTTCTTTCTTTCTTTCTTTCTTTCTTTCTTTCTGATTGTCTGCAGTAAGGGCTGGTATAAGGACCGCTTCCTCATATATATATAACCACTCGGCTGGCCCGTGTGCCTGGAGAGTCGTGGGGAGAATGGCTTGGTGGCGAGTGGAGGAATGGCCCTTCGGCTGAGTGCATGTGTATGGCTGTCTATATTTTATGTTCGTGTTGTGCTTGCTGCAATTCGTTCATGAGTGGATGTGGAGGAATGTCACACGGAATTGACTGCTCGCATGCATGCAATGCAGTACATGCAATCGTGTCTCCTGACTGACTGAGTGAAGAGCATGTCGACGATGGGCTGGGCTGGGCGTCCGAGGCGGCTGCGATTGAGGACGAGCTGGACTGACTGCACACACTGACGAACGGGCACTGCAGGCATGATGACGATGGGCTGGGCTGAGCTGGGACATCAGCAGACAGACACCATATGGACATATGGACTTGTGTGTGTGTGTGTGTGTGTTAGCTTATCTGTGCGTGATTGAGTGAGTGGGGGTGTTTGTCTTCAGACGTCAAACCAACGCCACCTTGTTGAGGGACAGACAACCATCCATCCATCCATCCATGTGTGCATTGTTGCTGTGGGCAGATCGAGTGTCTCACCTTGATGACGGACGCTGACATGATGTTTGGCTGTGGCTCTGTCTCTCTGTTTGACTGACGGTGCTGCGGGAGTCGTTGAGGCGCTCGTTGAGGTCGGTGTTGGTGTTGATCAGATGACGTTCAGGATATAAGATGTAGGCAGCGATATCGAAGACCTGCATTGATTCAAGACACACACTGGCATGTCGAAGTGATAGGCAGTGCTGCTGCTACCGCTGCTGGTGCTGTCGTTGTGGCTGGTGTGTGAGTGAATGAGTCAGTCTGTCAGCGGCCTCTGCACACAACGACAGACAGACAGACAGACAGACGGACAAGGCAACAAAGTGCAGGTCGCCCTCCATCCACCTACACGTATGTGGATGGAGGTCTGCGCTTCACCCACCGAATTCCTTAGTGGGTGTGTCGGCTGCCGCTCGCACAGGCCGAGTCCTGGCCACCAGCTGCTGCCGATTCATGTACACACACAGAGACAGGCAGGCAGGCAGACAGGCACATAGAGAGAAGGCACACATACCATACCATCCCTCTATCTGTCTATCTGTCTATCTATCCATCTGCGTGCGCCATTTGCTGTCTGTCTGTCTGTCTGTCTGAGTGGCTCACGGGAGCAGCGCACCTCTGCTGTGTTGTCCGTGTCTGTCGAGTTCTCCGAGTATGTCAGGTCGTCGTTCTCCAGATCATCTGGCGTCGGCGGTGCGGCCGGGGCGGGGCTCCATGGCTCGGGCAGCACGGGGAGCTCACTAGTCGGGCTGGGTCCTGCGAGGCTGGGGGCTTGAAGAGCGAGCGGAAGTGCTCGCGCACCTGACACACATACACACACATTACATTCACAAGTCAGTCTGCCGTACCCATCCAGCACCGGCCGTTGATGTGGGAAGGTGTGCTGCTGCCCTGTTGGCGTTGTCGTGGTCGGTCTTGGACCCGCTCGCCGCTGCCCTATTGGCGTTGTCCATCTCAGTGGCCGCCGAAGCGGCCAAACATGCGGAGACAAAGAGAAGAACGAAGAGACATGAGCAAATCGATCCATGAGCCTCTTCTTTTTTCCCTCACTTACGCACCTTTTGTGGCCGCCAGGGATATGAACGTGATCGATGCATCGGGCACAGGATCCCACAGATCTGTACCATACAGACAGAATGCTTGTCTCTCTGTTTGTCTCTCTGTTTCTCTGTCTGTTTGTCTGTGTGTCTGTTTGACTGACGGGCGTGTGTCTCTTCTTGCTGAATGAGGGCAAGGCTGCTTGAGGATGTGGTGAGGGATGGGGCGAGAGGATGGAGTGGGTGAGTCAATCGATACAGTCAGTCAATTGATGTGATCGGTCGATCGTGTGCTTGTGATTGGTAAAGCACTCGCGATCGGCCGATCCCATGCACACGCACACGCACACAGCGTACATACACGTACAGAACCAATATGCAGACATATATATCACGAAATCTGGTCAGCTGGTCATTCATGTGCGACGGGTTTTTGATTGTGTGTCTCGTCGCAGAGAATGAATGTCACACGGCCTTTACGACGGAACTGGCAGGTCTATACGTATACGATATATGTCAATGTCAAGCCAACGGTTGAACCGACACCCAGTCAGAAACACCAACACAAGGACAATGGCACAGCCACCCGCACATATACACGCACGCAGTACCACAGCACCATCCATCTTTCGTCATTCACTTGGCCTTCCTCCCAGCCCTCTTGCTCTTCACCGGCGGCCACTCCCTCTCCACCTTGCCTCTCTCACCCGGCCGCACACACGCCACATACTCGCTCATGAGAAAGTGAGGCGCACTGGACCACATCGACACCAAAGCGGACCGGCTGCTCACATTGGCCGTTTGCAGGGCCCTCACCAGCTGCTGATGAGGGGATGCACGTTCCTTCCCTCCCAGCCCTTTGCTGCTGCTGGCCAGGAGAGGGGTCCATTTCCGCATTGACATCACCACAAGACCCTCGAGCAAGGCTGATGCAAACACCTATATCAACACGCAGAGACAGAAAGAGGGAGGTGGGGGAGGGAAATCTTGTGTGTGTGTGTGGTGTGGCGGTGTGTCCCACTCTCACCTGGTATCTGAGGTCAGATTGTGTGTGGGTCGTGGCCATGTCGGTCTCCATGCTCTCCACCAGCCGATGGTCCAGCGGGGTGTACACGGGGCTCACAAAACACACTATCCTGTCACTGGACGGCAGATACCTGCAGATACACACAGACAGTGGTGCGTCCTTGGTCTGTGTCTGTGTGTGCGCGTGTGCATGTGTGCTGACTTTGGTTTTGGCATTTTGAGAATGTTGGTCTTATCGATGACGGGCGAGTCGATGCGCGCAAGGGCCAGCGGGTCGATCGCTAGACACTCCCTGCACACCGACAGACATGGATAGATGGATGGATGGACGCAGATGTGCCTGTGTGCGTCGTGGGGCACCTGATGAAGTGTTTGTCGTTTGACGATATGATCTGGTTGTAGGCTATCAGAGAGGGGCGGGGCCTGAACACACAACATACACACATACACATGTACACAGAAACGGAGAACGTTCCACGTCTATGGGTGCCATTGTGCCTGTGTCGCCCACCTGGTGTGGTATAGGTTAGAGTTGACGTGAATGTACGCCCGCTGCGACACCGCCACATCATCGCCACCACCACCACCACCACTACCACCACCGCTGCCGTCATCACTCAGGCGGGACAACTCAGCGCACCTGCACACGCACATGCCCACCACACACACACACACACACGTGTGCACCGATGAATGTGTGTGTATGGGTATCTACCTGTAGTAGCTCTTCTTGCCGACGCTGGCAACGCTGTCAACGCGCAGGGCGATGTGGTCGATGAGGCCCTCCAACACACAGTCGTGCAGACACAACGACTGAGATTCGCACAAACACATTCGTCACAAAAAGTGGTATGTCGTGGTTGTGCCGTGGGTGTCAATGTCACCTGCTCTTTGTTAGGTGGCAGTGGGGCGATTGGCAGGCTCAGGTCGACATCCCTGCGTATGCATTGACACTTGTGAATGCCGTTCCTCGCCACTCCCTCCCTCCCTCCCTCCCTGGCCCACTCCCGTACTTGCATTTGTCCTTGACGATTCTGGCCAGCTGCTGTGCCAAGGAGTACACCTCACTCATGGCACGCTCGTTGACCATATGGCTGGCACAAATCGACTCCCTACCATACACAGACAGGCAGGCACAGTGGCTCTCCCTCTCCCTCTCCCTCTCTCTGTGCGTATGCGTGTGTTGCTGACTTGTCGTGTGCGTGTGCGTATGCGCCCGTGACCCATATAAGCGCATCGATGTCGGATGGCAGCGTGCGCCAGTGGGGCACACTGGCACTGACTCCACCATCGGCAGGCTTCGACGGCAATGGTGGGGGCTTCTCCTCACTCTACGTACACACGTACACGTGTGTGTGCACGTGGGCGTGTGTCTGTGTGTGAGTGGTGTCAAGCGCACCTCTTCAATGCCGACATCCATCATGTCAAGGTCGTCATCCTGCTCCTGGCCAGGATGGGCACTCTCCCTCTTCCTCTTGCCGCCGTTGTCGGGGCCCGTGTGGTGGTGCCTCTCGAATGCGGTCTGGTCGAAGACGTTGCCCACAGAGAGAGCCGCCACCAACATGCAGGCGTGGTCTATCACTGGCACGGACAACGACTGAGACCTGCACACACGCAAGGAGAAAGGGGGAGAGGGAGAGAGGGATGTCCCTTCTCTTGGCCATCCATCGGTTGCTGGCTCACCTCTGCACTGCCGTGAGCATCATCTTGGCGTATCTCGGTGCAATGGGGAGGCTGGCCATGCGCTCGCCCATCCTGGTGCAGCGCACACCGCCATCCTTCTCCTTGTTGCTTCTGCAATTGCCGGCGGTGGTGGTTGTGTCGTGAGTGATGGCTGAGAGCATGAGCAGCCGCTCCTTGGCCGCGTTGGTGGCCGACGGTCTGGGCGGGGTGGGGAAGGGGAAAGACGACAGATGGGGGATGCCTGAAGCAATGAACGGGCCATACAGAAATGTGAATGCCCATGTGTCCATGTGTCCATCTCTCTCTCTCTCTCTCTGCGCGTGTGTGTGTGTGTGTGCACCGAGTGAGGCCATGAAGAGCAGGACGCTGTCGACAGGTGCAGCGAGTATGTTGACGGGCGGGTACTGTGTGAAGTGGTTCTCATACACGGCAGACGAATACAAACGATAGCAGTGACCCGGGCCAACACGGCCTACATCACATCACATCGCACCACACAGACAGCACACAGTGATCCGCACATACGCATACGGTCTGTTTGTGTGTGTGTGTGCGTGTGGATGTTGACCTGCTCTTCCGGCCCTCTGGTCGGCGCTGGCCTTTGAGACCCATTGGACAGAGAAGAAGGACACGCCCGTCGACTGCAGGTACCGACGACGCTTTTCCTTGCCGCAATCGACCACATACCTGTGAATGTGCACATGAACACACACCACTTACATGCACATGGGGAAAGAGAGGAGGAGGGGCCACAGGGGGGAGCATGCCCACCGGATGTTGGGCAGAGTCACTGATGTCTCAGCCACATTCGTTGCCACCACCACCACACGCTTGTCAGCCGGCGGATCGCGGAACGCCCGAATCTGACATCCACACACACATCCACACACACACACCAGGTCCATTTCCTGCATAGCCTCATTCCACGCAACCGCCACCCAAGTACCCACTGACCTGGTGTTTGGCGCTCATGGATGCATACAGCGGAATGACCTCCATCCGCCCATCCCCGTCACACCCCAGCCACTGAGCCCCGCCGGTCTGCCGTGCGCGTCTGCTGGTGGTGTCCTTTTGGTCGAAGTCGGTGGTCTGCGGGCCGTCCTGCATGGTCTTGACGGTCTTGAGCTGGTGCTCCTCGTCTGACAGACGGTAGGTGTCCAGAGGGATGGTGTCCGGTTGCTGCGATGGCTGCGGTGGCTGGGAACTGTCTGCATGGGCATCGATGTCATCCTGGCCATGGTCACTGGTGGTGTCTGAGTCTTCATCTGACGGCTCTTCGGACTCTTCTCCCTCCAGACGGAATGTGTCCTCCGCGTCTCGGTCTTCTTCTTGGTCTGTGGTGGCTGGCTGGTGCTGCTGGTCGTGGTCGGGGCGGCGTGATGGCCATGATGTGCTGCGGAGCATGTGTGCGATGCGGTGGGCCTCCCGCTGGCCGGTGGCGAAGACCAACACACTGCCCGACGGGAGCTTCCTGGACGTGAGGATCCATACATGCACACCGACAGTGTGTTGTGGCTTTCGCCGACACGTACATACCTGTGTATCTCTCTGACTTTCTTGACGGCACTCTTGACGTAATCGCTGTGCGTCACGCGGTTGAAGTGCACCTGACACACCAATCGACACACATACACACACACGTCATGCGCCCAGGCCCAAGTGCGTGTGTATGTGTGTGGGGGGGGGAGGGCCTCACGGTGACTGGGTGTGTCTTGGCGTCGATGGAAATGACGGGTGGTGGTGTGGGGAACAGCCGCTTGTTCTCGGTGAAGTCACACAGGCGCAGCGTCGCTGACATGATGACCAGCCTGCACACAGCATAAGCATCAGATGCATCCGGCCATCATTGCCTGACGTACTTGAGCGGCGGTAGTGTGGCGTCAGGTTTGTCGGCCATCTCGCGACGTAGCCGAAGTGTACGGGACAGCAAACCTGCACACACAGAACAGTCTGCAAAAACGCACCTGGTGTGTGCCTGTGTGTCTACCGATGAGAATATCGCAGTTGACGGACCGCTCATGCGCCTCGTCCAGCACGATCGCACTGTACCGCCTAAAGGCACACACACAGACACGCACACAGACACACCTTTCCCAGACCCCCCCATGTTCACACTCGTCCATACTTGCACAGAAGGTCGTTCTGTATCTCCTTGAGCAGAATTCCGTCCGTCATGAACTTCAGACGACACGAAGACCCGCAGTGAGACCGGTCATAACGCACCTGCACCACAGCCACACGCACACAAGCACTTATGCAGTGCTAAGGCGAGTCTTTCTCAACCACCTCCCACCCACCTGGTAGCCCACGGCTTGTCTCATGTTCATCTCCTCCCCCACCCGCCGGCAGATCGATATCGCCGCCACACGACGCGGCTGAGTGATCCCTATCATGTAACCACCGACATCAATCTCACCATCAGCACCCCCCGGGCCACACAGCCCCGCCTCATAGAGGAACTGGGGCACCTGTGTGGACTTGCCGCACCCCGTGTCGCCCGACACGATGACGACGTCGTGCTCCCTCACGGCCTCGACGATCTCACGCTCCATCATGCAGGCAGGCAGCCGCAGACGCTGCTCGTCGATGTGCGGCGGCCGGTGCACCAACACGTGACGACTGGCGCCCTCCCACCAGACATTGCGGGACGGCTGCTGCTGCTGGGGGGAGGGGAGAGGGGCTGGTGGTGGCTCGCTCTCTATGGCAGGCATTTGGTGCTCGCGGTGGCTGTTGTCGTCTGGTTGTTGGTCAGTGGCATTGTGCTGGGGCTTCTTGGGCCGGGAGGTTGGAGGGGCTGGGGAGGGCGAGAGGGCATCCTACAATGAACAGTGCATTCACATAGACACGCACAGATGCGCGTGTGTGCACGTGGCACGCGTCCGGGCAAATTCACTCACCTCGGCCATTCGCTGCTGTATCCGTTTCTCTTTCCTGACCGGACAGACATCACACAATCCCCTATTTGCGTGCATCGTGAACCCGCCTTCCCATCCGCTCTCAGCTGACCTCTTTCGCTTCTTGTCGACCTCATCCGCAATGCTCCGAGATATGTCCAAACCTACACATTCACATACAAACGTTCATTCAGGCAGACGCACCGACAGACAGGCGATTGATTGTCTATAGTATCCGACCGGCCTCGTGCTGTCGTTTGGCGAGCTCCACTTTCCGCCTCTTGGTGCTGGGCGTCGACGCCGTGGGCTGAAGCAACGACAGGTGCTCTGATGGACACCCACAGCAGCAGCAAAGGGGAGAAGTGTCATGGATCCACTGTGGTCTGTGTTTGTCTGGTTGGCTGACCAGGTTTGAGTGCGTATTTCCTGAGCTCCTCGAACACCGCCTCTCTCTTCTCTGCCGCCTCGTGCTTGCGCTGATTGTGACAGACACACACACGCAATTCACACAGACAGACAGACCCACAGACATTCAGACATTCATGACATCTCCTCATTCATTAGTCTCACCTTGAGCTGTTCGATCTTTCTTCTCTTCCTCTTGCTCATCTTCTTCTCCTCGGGCTTTGGCTCGTCGTCCTGTGTGGTGTCGTTGGGATGCTTGTTGCGGTGGATCTGCCGACGCGCCTCCCTCGACGACGGCAAGATCAGCTGATTCGTGTCGTCCGTCACATCCATGTCCATCGACAACGATATGGAGCCACTCATTTTCTCCAAGGCAAGCTCGCAGACCTTTCCTCGGCTAGGGTGCTCCCTGAAACCCCTGCTGCAGTCGGAAGCTGGAGGTGAATAGATCTCGTTGGAGATGGTGGTATCGCTGTTGGCGTGTGTGGTGCATCTCGTGCTGGTGCGCATGAGCGACGCTGTTGACCTTGGAAAGGGCGAGAGGGCCGGGTTGAGAAGGCGGCTGAATGATGGCGACGGCAGCAAAAAAGGGCAGAGCGAGGCTGCGATGGGCAGCGGCAGGTGGGCAGAGCCGATGCGCGCATGCGCCTCTTTCCGCGCCTTTTAGGCAGATCATGAATCATCCATGTCTGTCTGATTTTGTGTGTTTGTGTGGCGTGTGCGCAGGATGTTTGATGCGGTGGCGCCTCGTTACGACTTTGTGAATCGCGTCATGTCGATGGGCATGGACAGGGCATGGCGGAGGCGGCTTGTGCAGACACTGCAGGTAGGCACTGCACACACATATTCAACTATGACCCCACACGCATGTGTCGGTGTCTGACTGTCTGCCTGGGTTTAGCTTGAGCCGTCTGACCGCGTGTTGGACGTCGCCACGGGCACGGCTGACGTGGCCATACTCGTCGGCCAACAGATGAAGTCCAGGGAGAATGACACAAAAAGAGATGGTAAGCGACCAGGCACCCACCCGCACACAGACACAGATCCGTACGTATGTCTGCATCCTCATGTGTGTGCGGCGTGTGCAGGTCCGTGTGTGATTGGCGTTGATCCATCCGCGAATATGCTCGCTGTCGGGAGGGACAAAGTGAGCACGGCAGCACGCGCCTGACGAAGTCAGTCCTGTTTGATGTTGACTTGTGTGCGCACGGGTTTGTGGCGGTGGTGCTGCAGGTCTCTCGAGCTTTCTTGAATGACACTGTTAGCCTTGAGCTAGGCGACGCACTCGCCCTGCAGTATGAGGACAGCTCATTCGACAAGGTACACACACACACACGTACACACACGAGGAGAAAGGTGTAGTGGCTTTGTCGTCAGATCTCTATCTCTTTTGGCATTCGCAACGTGCCGGCTGCGTCGCGCATCACGGCACTAGAGGAGTTCCATCGCGTCATCAAGAAAGAGCAGGGCAAAAGGCTGGCCATACTAGAGATATCAGAACCAGCGGGAACCGGTCAGTCAGTCACTGATCACACCGTGTGCCACACCCTCACCGATGCGACCATACGTACGCCTGTGTGTGAACCTTTTCAGGTCTGCTTGCCCGTCTGGCGCGGTGGTTCATCCGGTTGAATGCGCTGGTAGGTGCGTGGCTGTCTGGGAGGCGGCGCGAGTACCGCCATTTGCTGGACAGCATCCAGGCATTCCCCAAACAAGACGACTTCTGCTACATGATCGATAAAGCCGGATTCACGGTGTGTGAGTGGCTGACCGCTTAGGCGGACGGATGGATGGATGGATGGCACTCTAACACACGGAAGGATGCATATGTGTCTCTCTGTGCGTTCGTGTGTGTGTGAGTGTAGGTGTTGGGTGTTGAGACAATGGGATTTGGGACGGTCAAGATATTTGTGGCTGAACCCAAGGCCACCAGATAGACATTAGAGGGCCAGCGGAGCTGTCTGTGCGTGGTTGGGAGTGAGGAGACATGATGACCGTCTGGATGGACAGACCCTTTCTTTGTAGCTTGTAATGCCATGTGTTTGCCATGTTCCTTTCGTCCATCGTTTCGCTAGGTGTCCAGCTCCCTGACAGACAGAGACACCTCTAGCACTAACATGGACGCATTCCAAGACAGATAGTGGAGACAGAGGAAACAAAACTCTCCCACTCATTCAGTGAGGTGGGTGTCTGTCCTCTCTCGTGGCTCGGACCCGCTGAGCTGACGTGTCCTCCGCCTGTGGCATGTCACTGGCAGAAAAAACGTTACTACATCGCTCCCTAGCACCGAGGGAAACCAGCGCACCCACCAAATCGATCGATCCGCAGACATGACTTTCCCTTCCCCCCCTTCATCATCACTGTCGTCAATGTCAGCACAATGAGCGTTAAGGGATGCAATCAGACAGACAGACAGACGGACAGACGTACGAATGTGTGCCTGCTGGCGTGCGCATGCACTTATTGAAGCAACCATTGGCGGCTGGCTGAAAACCCGCCACTCAAAATATAGACACGCAGACAGAAAGCATGTCGATCGGGCAGGGATGCAATGCTCTCTTCGTGGCTTGCATGCGCCCGACTGACGTGTTCCCTACCTGTGGTTGATTACAGGCAGAAAATGCATCACCGATTCGCACATCAGCACCAAGAGAGCACCAATGCATCCATCCACCCCAGTCTGCCAATCCCTCCCCTCCCTAGCAATCGATCCACGAGTCAGTGTCAGTGTCAGTGTCAGTGCCTGCTCCCAAGGGAAAACATCAATGCCCCCACCCATCACATCACATCAACGGCAGGGGAATGAGCGCTAGACAACGGTACGGACACATCCAGATGGGGGACGTACGTATGTGTGTATGCACTTGCCATTACTTGAAGCAAACAAATCATCTCAGGAAAGTCACGCTCATCCATGCATAGCGATAAGAGTGTACGTACTTGTGTGTGTGTACTAGCTGACGGACGCACCGGGAAAAAGCGCCTGGTGCCTTGCTGTGCTGTGCTGTGCTGTGCTGTGCTGTGGTATGCAGTCGAACACTCCCTACACGCCCCCAAATCGGCAGGCGGCGGTTCATCAAAGAACTCATGTATGTGTTTGTGCGTAGATGTTGGTGCATGTACCTATCCAGATGCACAGGCACAGAAAGTGATAGGATGATTACCTGTGCATCGGTAAATGAATGGCGGATGAGGGGAGGTAAGGGAAAAACGACGGGTGCACAGGGCGCACGTGGTCGAAACAGGAGAAGTGGCCAGTAGTGTATGTATGGACCAGCTACAGCTACCACATGTCGGTGTGAGGCGGTGTGAGTGACGTGGGATCAAAACTGGATGATCCCGGCGGACACGCGCATCTGCACCAGCTGTATCTGCACGTATCTCGCACCCTTAGCGCCGCTCACATGTCCGCCAGGCAGCACAATCCGCCGCCGCTCCCCCAGCCGCATCGACAGCAGAGTCTCCTGCAGCCAACGGGGAGTGTCCGACACACGGCTCTCCAGCGCCCGCTTGTCGACCAACTTCTTCTCACCGTCGAACGCATCATACCTGCACCACACAACACGCACAGAGGAACAGAAATGTGTGTACAGGCAACCGTGGGTGTGTCTTTTCTATGTGTGTGTGGGTTGGGTGCGTACCAGACGCTGTAGTCGATTCGGACTTTCTGGTCGACGGACGGCTTGGCGCCCTTGCCCTCCTTCATCACTCGCTGCAGGGTGCCGGCCGGGAAGCGGAGGAACCCGTCACTGCTGTCATCCTGCACGGACGCTGCCGGAAGGGACACCTTCGGGCGACTCGCTACACCCACACTGAACACAGCAGCAGCACACAGAGAGTCAGGCAACAGCCATCACGCACGCGTCACGTAGATCTGTCGGTGTGCATCTGGTGCCTCACCTGACACGGCCGATGTCTCCGCCCTGAGCCTCGAACAGCCCTGCATCAGTGCCGGTGAGTGCTCCCAGAGGCATTGTGAAGGCGAAGGGCACACGAGAGCAGGATGGCAAGGGCAAAGAGAGGTGAGTAGAGATCTCGAATAGTGGACGGTCAGGAGAGGTGCGGCAGCTGCTGCTATGACGTGCTGGACGTCAGAAAGTCCTTCGATAGAGAAGAGAGAGGCGGGCGACATCGGAGCTCGCAAAATGGAAGACGAAGGGTCGAATGAATCGCCCACACGCTGAATTGTGCTGTGCACATCTGTTCAATTGCAGATATTCGGTTCAGTAGAACTTCCGGTGCACGTGCCATGCACGCGTGTCAGTTATTGTGGACGTCCTCACACGAGAGGTGAGCCCACGAGGCCAGCCAGCTGGTGCTGCACTTAGCTTTTGTATTGTCTGCCTGCTACTGCCTGCCTGCATATGGGTCCACCCGTCGCTCTCCCTGCCTGCCCGCCTGCTTGGGGCGGCGACATTTGTCAAGCCCCACTGCCTGCCCGTGAATGATGATGACAGTCAGCCAGCCAGCCACTTCAGTCAGTCATGATCAGGCTCTTGCCTACGCCGTGCCACCTGAGAGCCGAGCTAGCCTGTCTGTGTTGATGCATGTGTGATATGCATGGCCGTATGTGTGTGTATGTGTGTATGTGTCCATGGATTGTGGATTTGGACCGTGCACCGTGGACCACACACATTCAGCACACATCCCTCGATTCAAACCTTCAGTGTATGTCTCTATGTGTCCCTGGCAAACTGGTTGCACTACGTGAAAAATCGACTTCGGCAGCTCGACACTCTGTGACCAGGTATAAGTTTGGAAGGGTGAAAGGGCGTCACACAGATTCAGGCACGTCGGCAATTGGTGTCCGCAGAGGCCATTCATCACATTTGGTGTATGTTCTTCATCTAGAGGCCGTGCAGCCAGTCGCTGTCCCACGCCAGCTATTTGATCTTGGCCTTGATGTACGCCTCCAGTTCCGTCAGTCGCTTGTCCATCTGCTGCACAACTGGGACATTCGAAGACGAGAGAGAGAAAGAGTTCCTGAGTGAAATGAGACAGATGATTTTTATCACCGGAGTGAATCTCATCTTGGACGTACGCTTTGAAGTGCCTGAGGGCTGCAGTACACAGACAGGCACAGACCCCTTCCTATGGCTGTGATTGCCTGTGTGTCTCACCTGTCATGACGTCAGGGACGCTCGAGTCGTGATGATCCGCTGCCTCGATCCACTTGTCGATGCTGTCCTTGAATGCGTCCCGTGCTTCACGCCTCTTATCAGCCGTCTCCGAACTGTCACTTTCGGTGGCGTCAGACGTGAAGAAGGGGTCCCCTCGAAGATTCCAGAGAAACGAGACGAGGTCATTGATTGTCTCATCTCGTGTGCTTTTTGACCCTCACTTGCTGGGCGTATTGGTACAGAAGAAAAAGGGGCGTCAGGAGAATGACGAGGGGAATGAGAAGGGATGCGCACAGTGCCCCACAAGAGTTCCCCACCCGTATCGCTCGTGAGACCAACTCCAGCCCTTTAAAGATGGCCAGGGGTGTGAAGGCGACAGCAACAAGGAGCACATCGATTGGGGAGTACAGGGCCTCCATCGACCAGAAGGCAATGCGGCAGAGTGCCGACTGGCGTCCGCTTATGAAGGATGCGACATATCGCAAAGGCTCCGACACAACCACACCTTCACAGACACAGACATGTGATGGATGGCTACAGTTCATGTGTCTTGTCTCACCGACCGATGAGGTTGAATGGCGGGGGCAGGCGCTCGTGGTGCGGCATTGTCAGGTACTCATTCAACACGCGAATGCGCAGCAGCCTGCACTCATCACAAAGGGAGAAAAAGAGAGGCCCTATATGTGCCTCTCTTCTATGTGCCTCGCTTGTCGGCTGTCTAGTTGGTTGTCTCACTGGTACTGGGCGGTTTGCTTCTCCTCGATGGCCGCAAACGTCGACGCCTGACGGATACATACATACACATAGATTGATTATGTGCCACGATTCCTTCTCTGTCGATCTCACCATGATGGCGATGAGCAAGTTGAGCTATCGATGTACGCGGGCAGAAGAGAGAGAGACAAGAAAGGTAAGACAAGGACCATCCATTGTGTGTTGCTGAGTGCCTGAGTGGTGCCGACGTACGAGTATGATGGACGAGAGGATGACGTATGTGAACAGCAGGACGGCCCCCAGCGTGTCGTGGCTCTCGATGGCGTTGTTCAATGGGTCGCTGAAGTCGCCAAGACCACCGTAGAAACTAATGGAGCCAACCAACAGCATGACGACTGGCGCTCTCTGTCTGTGTGTCGGTGTCATCGAGTACAGTGTGAGCATGGCTTTGGCTAAGGAGCCGAAGTACTGGTGGTCTTCGTCGGACGAGAGGAGGGTGAAGACGACCGCGAAGACCAGCAGGATGTAGACGTAGAGACACAGAAACATGCTGATGTCCGAAAACATCCTCACCACAGGCCTGACACACACACATCACACACAGCATGAGAGACATTACAGCCCTCTCTCTCTCTCTCTCTCTCTCTGTGTGTATGTGTGGTTCTCCTCACTGACAGTATGAGTGGTCCGACGGTTGGGTGCAGGGTGGCAGTTTGCAGGAGACGCAGCGCAAAGAGGAGCGCGACGACTACGCCCGAGCCGACCTCTGCTTCCAAGGACCAGCCGATGAAGTGGATGGCAATGAAGGCAGCGATCGAAAGCGCCGCAGCACAGTCGATGGCATTCCTTAATTCATGCACGCGCACACACCGACAGCACACGAATCAAGTCGCCAAACGGTTGGCTCTGCTCGCCTGACGTGTACCAGGAGTCTTCCCAGTACGCTGCCTTCAAACGGATGCCCTGCACACACACAGAGGAGGATCAAAGTCATGTCTCGTCTCGTCTGTCTTACTTGGAAGACCTCCAGAAGTATGAAGCCACCCCCGGTCAGCACTGTGCCCCACAGCCACACCGCCGGCCACACCCCCGCCATCATCATGCCGCTGTCTCCCTTGATCGACTCGATGTGCAGCAGCACAAAGGCCACCCTGCAACAGATAGAAGTGCATGTGTCTCTCTCCAATGTAGATGTTCCTCTCTGCCTGCCAGCATGCTACATTGTAAGTCTTACATCAGGAGCATTGACAGCACGCGGGCCATGAAGACATCACAGGGCGCAATGTTTGTGACGCAAACTGTTTTCTTCGACGATGGTTGCCAATGCTTTTCGACAAGAGAGATGCAGTTGGCTGTCACAATCATTGGCAACAGGAGAAAGGTGGAGACCTCAACGGACTGACAAGACAGAGAGGGGGGAACATCTTGCGAGGTTCACCTTGAGTGACGACAGTCAGGGGTTCCGCAGACTCGAGCAGCGTAAACCACTCCTTTTCTTTGCCTGCAAGTGACTGTCCAAAGTCCAGTGACATGGTGTCGCTACAGAAATTGGCTGTGAGCGCCTGAGACATTGGATAATCAAATGCTGAGCCTCAGCTGAGGACGTTACGTGTTTTTTGGATTGTTTACCTCCGCCCAGCCCGCTGTCTTCTCAAAATCACTGCACGCATAGACAGGGGAATGAGGGGGCATATTTGCGTTTCCTTCTTATCTGGTCAATCTCACTCTGTGAGGGAGTCATTCTGCCGAGACTTGGTCAATTTGCGGAATGTAGAGCACCACCTGAGACCGTCAAGGCCCAGCGAATCGGATTCTCGAAGGCGCTCCGCAATGCCGCGTTTGACAAAGGGAAGCACTGTGGGAAAGATCTCTGGCTGCAACATCTTGTTGAGACTGTCGTTGTTTGTCTCGAGCAGCTCCATGACCACATCTCCAGCCACGGTAAACATGGCAACGACGACTTTCGGGTGCTTTCTGTCGAGGGCATCATCGAGAGGCGTCTCTCCATACTGTCAGAGTGACGAGGAGGGACAGTTCCGGCATGAGGCTCGATAAGTGCAGCCTACGTCATTTTTGATCTTCAAGAGCTGTGGGTCCACCCTCAACATCCACTCCACCACATCGACATGGCCCTTTTCTGCAGAGGAGCACAAAGACACACGTTGAAGACTTCTTTACTTGTGGTTGTCATTTGCAGGAGTGACTGACCTGCTGCCAAATGGAGAGGCGTTCTATCAAGCTACAGACACAAAATGAAGAAGACACATAATGTTAAATGCACCAGTCGAGATTCCCTCGTCCTTACGTTGCCAGGAGCTTCCAGCAGTCCCTTTCCGCCAAGCTCGACAAACTTCTCCACAACACCAACTGACCCTTTCTCTGCTGCCACGTGAAGAGGCGTCCGGCCACTCTACAGACACAGCATATGAAGGCAGCAGTGAAGACATCGGTCGCCTGATGGGCAAAATGAGTGTAATTGTCGAGCGGGATACCTCATCCTTCAGGTTGAGCAGGTGGCATCGGTTGTCCAGCAGCACCTCAAACACCTTCACGTCAGAACACTTCCCTGAGAAGCACACACAGGGGCCACGTGGCTTCATCATGTGTATCCATTGATGCGACGATGCATACGTGCGGCGTGGTGGATGGCAGACCCCCAAATCCACTCTCCAGTCGTCAGCACTTTCTCGGTTTGTTCTGGGGACAGACCGTCGAGGGCCTTCCGCACACCCTCCGCATCTGATGCATCGATGGCATCCCTGATGCTCCATCTCAGCGACTGAGTCGGTTCCCAATCGTCGGCGGCCGGGGCACCCACCAGGGAGACCTGCAGATGACACACAGACGTCCAAGAGACCTCTCAGCGTGTGTGCTCGTGTCGCTGTCAGCATCACACCTGCTCAAAGCGTCTCGGTGCCTTGGTGATGTCATCGGTGACGTCGGGCAGCTGGGGCTCCATCAGCCCTTGGCCATCGTCCTGCAGCAGAGGAATGTGCTCACTCGAGGCCGACGCTGACATCTGCAATGCATTGAGGGAGGGAGGGACACAGACATCACAGGCCGATGGCCACACACACAGAGATGCACAAGGGCATTGCAGGGTGACCTTGGGATGGCCCATCTGTGTGTGGTGGATGGCCTGCTGTGCGGCAGCGTCGCCCTCGTCGACTCTCGGCAGCTGGATGTAGCACGCCTCATCCACACCACTGGGGCGTCTATGGCCGTCTCTCACCCTGTCGCCCTCCTGGCCCTGCAGACGTGGGGTGCGCTGGCCGTGGAGGAAGCCCAGCATCTTCGCCGCACCGCTCAGTCTCAGAGACGCCGAGTCTCCGCCCTCCAAGCCCCCAGAGCTCGCGATAAAAAAAAAGTCGTCAGGGCGAGTCGTCAGGGCCCCACGTAGGCAACAGACCCCACATCTTCCTGCTCGCCCGTCCTGGCGCGAGACGCCCAGCCCAATTGCCGCCCCCTGTCTGTGGCTGTGTGTGACTCGAGCACATCACGCGGTAGAGAGACATCAACCATTCACCGGCATATACATTGTATATATACACACGAATGAATCAATGTATATACAGTACAACAGTGCGGGCCATTAGATGCGGACGAGTGGAAGGATATGCAACGGTCGATCGTCAGGCCAGTCAGTCACGCAGCTTGAGCACGAGTTGCTTGAGCCGCCTCGCCTCATATGACACCGTCGGCACGCGACGCAGGCCGCCCTCCTGAGCCATCAGACAGACAGACACCCACCCACCCACCCAGACAGACAGACAGACACGCCCTCGATGTCATCGCATTGAAGTTATCGCCACTATGTGGGTGCAGAATCTCACTCACCGCGGCGTCGGATGGTTTGATGGTGGTGAGTATGTCGGCGCCGTGCTGGTCGGCGGCGTCCAGGAAGGTCAGGATGTCGTGGAAACTCTGATCCTGACGACCAACGAGACAATACATATAGCCACACTGTGGCGATGCGGTACGAGTGTGTGTCCATCTTGCCACCCTGAGCATGATCATGTGTTTGGCCAGAGTCTCGAGGAGAGCCAGGAAGCACCGCTTCGCATAGTACCTGACACAAGATGACACACAGAGACACCACAAGGATGGACGCATATAGCACATCTCATCGACAGGTGTGTTCGTGTTGCCTGGCTCCGTTGGGTGGTGACCATGTGTCAACGCCTAGTTTCTTGTTGTAGGGCTCCAGCGACTTGATGATGCGCGAGATGCCGAACTCATAGTTGCCCTTGGCGCAGTAGAGGGTCCCGATCACCAGGTTGATGATGCACAGGTGGTACACCTGCCTGCTCGGGTCCTGCACACACAGCACGACACAATGTGTAGCCTGTCAGGCAGCTGCTTTGCTCGGTTCACCTGCAGCTGTACCCTTTCCTCCTCCTTCTCTATCTGCCTGTCACTCACACACACATATGAACGACACACAATACATCAGGTCAGATGCACTCCTGTAGACAGGCTGGCAGGTGTTCAGGACCCTCACCTCATGAGTTCCTCTGCCTCCTCGTTTTGCGATGTCATGATGTACGCCACACACAGATTGGCCAACACAATGGCCGTCACATTCAGCAGGTTGTCTGCACCAGAACCACACACCAATCAACAGACATGCCTGTGTGGTCCCTCGGTCCCCTTCTGTGTCTGAGTGCGTCACTGCACCCACCGGCGTGTTTCTTGACGAACTGCTCGTAGTAGCGGATGCACTCCTTGTATTTGTCACCCTGACACACACACGGAGATAGACGAACATCATGATGCATCTGCCCGGCCGCTTCTCTCGGCGCGCATATGCGCAGCTACCTGCATGAAGAAGACGTGCGCCACATTGAGTTTCCAGGTCTCGCTGTCGTTGCAAAACTCTGCCGACTGCCGAAACAACCTACCAAGAATTGGAGGCATTTGACACACAACACACAAAACAATGCGCCTGTGGCGAGGGGCAAATGCCTCTCTCTGCGTGTGCGCGCGCGTATGTGTGTGTGTACTTTTCGACGGCAGTGTAGTTCTCGAGGTCCCAGTAGATCTTGGCCTGACCCATCAGCACCTGATTGACGAAGACACGCGTATGCCACATACACCGTCTCTCTGTGTCTGTGTGTGTCATCATGTCTGTCACCGGTATGTATTTGTTGAGTGCCGTCTCAAAGTCAGCCAGCTGCTGCTTCACCGCACTGCTGTCGCGATTGCGACGCGCATCCTGACACCACCGACACACAACCAACAGCACACAAATGGGGCAACGAATACACGCACACCCTGGACCGATCGGACTGACCTGGAGGAGTTTGGTGATCTTACGAAGGTTCTCGACATGTTTGGCGGCGAGTTCATCAAAGCGACGGTACGCATCCTCTGGGGCGGTCTGGGCCTGGAGAGGGCGACACACGCACACACGGGCGTGCCGCAGGAAGGTGAGTGGGTGGCTGCTGCGTACGAGTATGAGCGTGTCGAGGAAGTCGAAGTCGTCCTGCTCCAGACACTTGAACGTCAAATGAGCATTCTCAGCCTAAAGAGGTCACAATTAGAGAGAGATGTGTATGTGTGCGTGATGATTTCCTGCTGTCGTTCATCTGGTGGCTCACTTGAATGTCGGCAGCGAGGTCGAAATAGCTATGCCTGACCAACAGACATGCAACCAGCCATGTCTGTCCAGTCCGCTGCCCGCCGCATCATCTCGTGTTGGTTCATCGTACTTGCAGTAGAGCAGCAGGAGGTTGACAAAGGTCTCTGGGGGGAAGGGGGGATTCTGCACACACACAGGGGAGGCCATGTGCGTACCCAGAATGGACGGATGGATCAGGTGTGTGCGTCTGCCGCGTGTGTGGCCGGATACCTGCAGGAGGAAGTTGAGCTTCTTGAACCCGCCTGTGGGGTTGGAGTCCATGTTCATCAACGCCTGGTTGTGAAGACTGACGGGATCCAACTCTACACACAGAAGTCCACACGTGTCAGCATGCATGTGTGTGTGTGTGTGTGGGTGTGTGGGTGTGAATGGTGACCGACCATCCTCAGCCCTAGGCGGCATGTCCAGCAGCGCCTCCCGCGCCTTGTCGCCACTGCCCGCCAGGAACTCTATCGCCGCCGTCAGGTTGAGCGCCTCAATCTGATGCACATACATTGTGTGTGGTGTGCATGTTGTGCGTCTGGTGGTATGGTGTCTTGAGCGGCTCACCACACATGTTTCTTTGAGGACGGCGGTGTTGCCGACCGACCTGACCTCCACGTCATCCCTGTTGCGGCCGACCTCCAACTCGGGGTGGTGACGAATACCTGCCACACACAACACACATACACAAGACACACACACAGAGAGAGAGGGGCATAAGTATGTATGTGTGTGGATTTGTGTGTGGTTTGACTGACCCCTTTCGATGATGTCGGCTAAGAACTTCCTGGCGTGGTCGTACTGCTTCATGGAATAGTGACACAGAGCCAGGTTGTAGGCCAACTCGGGCTGGTACCTGCACACACACAGACCACAACAGCCATGAACAACACCCACCCTCCCCCTTCATGTGTTGATCCATCCATCTTCATGTGGATACCCGAGTGTGTTCATAGCGTCGCTGAACATCTTGCGTGCCTCTTCGTATTTCTTTTCCTTCCACAGGATGGCCGCAGCCAACACCGTCAACTCGGGGTCGCTCTCGCCCTCAGACTGGGCCGCTGTGTGGTCCACCAGACTCTTGGCAAGACCCAACTCCTCCTGCACACACACATACACACACGGACATTGGGGCACTCACCTCTGTGTGTCTGTGTGTGTCTGCGGACCTGTTCGTATTTGATGACGGCCTGCAGGTAGAGCACCTGGTGGCCCAGCTGAGGCGACTCCAACGCCATCAGCGCCTGCGAGGCGTTGTCATGCAAACCAGCCTACATCCCAACAGACAACACACATGAGGGGGGACAAACAATGCCCTTCTTCGATTGTATTTCTTCTCACCTTGAGCAGTGACTGTGCGTGGTACATTCTGTATTGGTCGACCTCAGGGAACAAACCCGACAGCTGGGCGTAGTACTGCGCCGCCAGGTCGAAGTCCTGCTTGTGGTAGGCGCAGTAGGCCAGCAGCGAGAGGGCCGCCCGGCTGTTGGGGAAGTTGAGCAGCTCTGCCGAGAGGATCTTGATGACGTCATCGTACTTTTGCTGCCGGATGAGGCCGTAGATCTTCTCGGTGTACTGGCCTTCGGGCACCTGACGCACCGGCTGAGGGATCATCAGTGAAGCTATATCGGTGAACCAGATGTGCGACGCTCAGCTCGGCTTCACTCGGCTTCGCGTTCGTTTCCTCAAACCCCACAAACCCTAGTATTGGATCGAACTCATTGTAAATCGTTTGGAAGGGCATTTTGTGGGTAGCGATGGGTGACGATTACGACAGGGAGGAGTTTCCTGACGAGCCGCCCCTGGAGGCCGAGCCGAACGGGCCGATGGTCAACCAGGGAGGATTCTACATGAAGGTGGGCATGAAGGGCCTGAAGAGGACGGCAGCCATGGGAGATCTCCGTCTGTGTGCAGGCACCCGATGTGGATAGGCATGCTGGCTTGAAGCGGGCCAACAAGAACCAATACCACAGCTCAAAACGGCCGGTGTAGGCAAAGGGGAGGGAAAGACCAGAGGATAAGAAGCCCCTGGAGAGCGGCCGACGTTTCTCCTTTTGTTTTGTTGTCAGGTTGGGTGGCGGAAAGGCGACGGGCACTGCCGCTGCTGCGGCTGTGGCAAAGCAGCAGGACCAACGTAGTGCACCCACACGCACCCTCCGCCTCTCCCATCTGTTTATTCATCCACGGCTGTTTGGATCTGTGCAGCGTTGCTGGCATCGGTGGCCAAGGGCCGCGAATACAGTTAGACGACAGCCACTGTGACACGCGATGCCGGCGTACACACGATTCATTCTCTCGTGTGTGCCTTGTTGGGTGCAGCGATGCAGGACGCTTGTCGTGAGAGGCTCCAGCGTGAGGAGGCCGAGCGCGAGAGGGAGAAGGCGGAACTCAAGAAGAAACGGGCTGAGGACAACAGGAAGTGGTCAGCAGTAGCACGCGCAGCCATTCCGTGGTCATCTTTCTCTCTGGATGGATGGATGTGTGTGTGTGTGTCTGTGTGTGTGTCTGTGTACACGGCAGGGATGAGTTGAAGAAGAAACGGCTGGCAAAGGCAAAGCAGGACCACCAGGACGTGGGAAAATACCTGAACACATACACCCTTGTCCAATCGACATCATCTGTCAGTCCGTCTCTCCGTCTGCAGGCTCGTGAGAAGCGTCTCAACTACTACCAGGACAAGCCCGCCGCACCTGCCCCTGGTGGTGGTGGGGCTGGTGGCCGTGGGGGCGGTGTGGGTGTGTCCGGGGCCACCTCGAGTGCATCGCAAGGCGGCCGCGGGGGCCCTGTGGGTGAGCTGCAGCACATCCTCACGGCCAACGGGCTGGGCGCGTACTCGGCACAAACGCTCATCGACAGGGGCTTCTGCCTGCCGGTGAGTTCCATGGTGCAATTGCGGGAGGGGTGGGGGCAGGGAGCCTGTGTGCATTTCTTTACCCCTGTGTGTAGGTGTTGCGAGAGGCGCGTGACGATGCTAAGTTGGTGGACGACATCTTGAACCAGTTTCTCGACGTACTCGGTGAGCAGACATGGATGAGAAAGAAAAGGTGGATGGCATTATCGTTGATGTGCGTCGCTATACCCCACACCGACAGGGCGGGATTTCCAGAAGTTCAAGCAGGCCATCAAGACCAACATCACCTAACACATACACAGGCAGGACGGACAGAGACAGCCGCGCCACGCAATACCGACAGGTGAGTGCGAATTGAACATCCATCCACGCATAGGTCCTGGTCTCTGTAACTTCTCTCAGGACCCCCTTGCATGTGTTTCGTGAGGTTATCCCCCCTTCCCTCCCTCCTGCCTTTTGTGCACGTGTGTCGCGACCGTGTTTGTTTCTGCAGTGGATGGATGCTGTTGGATGGATGGATGGATGGATGGGGCGCATGTACTTGTGTGCGTGGAGTGGCCGTGCATTCGTGTTTGACTGGTTTGTCAGTGTGGGAACTGACGGCGAGTCCATGGTCAAATCGTCAGACCACCACTTGCACCAAAAGTCAGTGGCGTGTGTCCATGAGGTATGTACATGGTGTCCATGGGAGACATAGATAGAGAAAACAGAACACTCACATAGATGACAGGCACCTCAGATATATAGACACATCCCCTTTGTCACCCACTCACCCACTCACGCCCCACCCACCTGCAGCACCTCTACCTCATCGGCATGGAAGAAATATCTCCCACCTAGCAGAGCTGCCTGTGGGGCTCCCCGGCCGGGGGCCCAGGCCTTCCTCTCCCCCGTGTAGCCCGCAGGCAGCCAACCGACCATGAAGAGTTGCCCGCAGCGGATGTCGGCCGCCGGCGGGCCACAGCCAATGCTATCACCGAGGCCCAAATGCAACTGCCCACCGACCCACACACGTGCACCCCCAGGCGTACTCGCCTCCCTCCCCGCCACCTGAACGAACTGGGAGCCTCGTGGGATGTCTATCTTCATCGGCTTGTCGAAGTGCCCGGCCAGGGAGAAATACCAAACGTCACAGTCGTAGTTGTGGCGGTCGGTCGGTCCGTCTGGCAGCTGGATGCCGCCACTGATGAAGGCGCCGAACTTGTAGGGTGGCTTGCGGATGATGAACGCCAGGCCGGTCTTGTCGCCCAGACACCGCAGCAAGTCGTCGTACGTGGTGCCGTGAACAGACGCTCTAATCCACAGAGAAAGAGAGAGTGCTGCTTGGGCTTGGAATGCACTGTTGTGTTGTGTGTGTGTGTGCATACCTGTACAGCAATCGCGTGACCTGCGTGTTGCCGCCTATGACGCCCAGCAGGTCGTAGTATTCCCACACGCTGAGCGAACTACCCGCAGGCACACGCACCTGCACACCAGAGACCGACCCATGTGTAGGTGTGACAGCGTGTCGTGTGTGCGCACCAGTGGCGTGAACAGCGACGGCAGCAGTGTTGCCTTGCCGACCCTCAGGTCACCCACCCGGCCCCGCAGGCTGCACACAAGCAGAGCAGAAGCAATGAATGGCCACGCCGCCAAGTCGGTCCATCTCGCTCTTACTCGTCGATCCGTTTGGCAGCTTGCTCCTTCTGCAGAGAGTCCAGCAGCTTGGTGAGGGAATAGTTCTTGGTGACGTTAGCGGCCGTGGTGATCACCCTGCATGACATAACGCGACGAGCACCACGACATGTATCGCGATACATGTGACCACAACGATGCATGGCACCGCTGCGCACCTACTGGCACGTGGGGCACCGTGCGCTTCGATCTGGCTGGCGCTGCTGAATGGTCCTCACACACTGACAACAGAACGTGTGCCCTGCACCGCACCACATGCATCAATCAGAGAGGAAGTGCGTTCCATCTATTCATCCATCCATCCATCCACCGATTCCTCTGCGCGCACCACATCTGCCCAGCACCATGGGCGTCTTGTCGCCCACGGCATCAAACTGAGCATAACAGACCTCGCAGTCGAGGGCATCAACACCGGCCATCAATCACGCCTGCATTGAGATGCACAGACAGGAGAAGAAAGGCATTGAGGTGTGTGTTGGTATGCCCACTGTTGGCCTCCCTCTCTCACTATCATCAGGTCAGAGAGGGAGGCTGTGTGACGATTCCTGCAAAGTGCGTCACTGCCGAAACGCACCGCTACCTGACGGCGCCAAGGAAGCCAAATGCGACCGAAAGCGGCAAGGAAGCCATTTAAGCTCGCAAGCTTGCAATGGATTGAATCGTTCGTTCTGTTTTCCATCTGCGGGCCGCATTCACCATTTCCTTAACACGTTCTCCTTAACCAACACGTTCATTGAGTCGATTCGCGATGGATCCGCCTAGCCTCTTGTTCGGTCGTCCTGCTGGCATGAGCCTTTCAGGCTGGCTGACCCGCCTGCAGATGGAGCGTGAGAAAGCCGAGCGAGCGCTGCGGCTCCACCAGCAGCGCGGCCTGGACACGACGATGCTGGATATCACCATCGAGAAGCTGGACGAGAGCATCAAGGAGGTAATGCAGGAGAAGCAAGGCAACATGCCCCGCGCCAAGAGGGCCAAAGCCAACGAATCGGAGGATGCGGGTGGGCACTCCACACACAGCGAGGGAGGAGGGCATCCATCAAACTGGATGGATGGATGGATGGATGGTGTCTGTGTGTGTGTTGCAGTGGCGTCTGACGAGGGCAAGGACGGCGATAGCTCCAGCAACAACAAGACAAACAGCGGTATGTGTATGTTGCTCCACATATACACACGCAGATCCGCGCGGATGTGTGTGTTATCGTGTGTCTGTGTGTTGGCTTCTTCCGTCAGGCGTAGAGAATGGGTCCAAGACTGAGGCCAAGTGATGGATAAACAGCGATGGAGGGAGGGCAGGGGTAATGTACAGCGGTGGATGGATGGGAAGATGGATGCACGGTTCTGTGGTCGGTCGACTCGGCTTGTGTGTGGCGGAGTGAAGATCAGTGTGCAGCTAGTGTACAGAGGTGGAAGGGTGCGGTGGTGGGTGCAGGCAATTCGTGTGCATTCATTCGTGTGTGGTCCAACGCATGTTAATGTTACTGCCTGCCTGCCTGCCTGACTGCCTGCCTGCCGCGTGTGCATAGGTGGGGACCTTTCGGCATACATGGATATGAGACGTTCACATGAATTACAGTCGTCACTAGCCGTCCAATCGCACACAAACACGCACATCCATCCGCACACACACGCACGCGCACGCACCAAGGAATGAATGCATGCAGCCATCGTACGACTAGAAAAGACACCTGGCCATTCATGCATTCCCCCCGCCCTGTACGTATCGACACAGGTATGAATGTTTGTATGTACGTATATATCTACTGGATAGAGTGAGTATCGGTCGAGATGATATCAGGTCGGGCTGGGCCAGGTCAGATGCGTTGCTGCGTACTGGTGGCCTGGCCCACCTCACCCATCTTAACACCTGACACACACACACACACACACACACACAACGAGATGCACCCACTGCCAACAGCGACTCTGGTCACATGGCATGTGCCCACCCACTCACCCCCCACTCACCCGATGCATTGGCATCCTCCATGTCAGTATCCCTGTTATCGCCGGCGCCGCCCTCCTCACGACCCTCACTGAACCAAGACCAACGCACACACACATGTGCATTTTCCGTCAGGCAACCATGCCCACAGCCGTCCTTTCTCACCCGTCCTCCATATCGGCATCCTCCTGGGCAGCAATACCTCCTGGGCCATTGTGGCCACCACCGCCAACGCCGGCCAAACCCAAGGCAGGCAGGAAGCCCGCACCCACGCCCGCGCCCTCCCCCTCGTTGGCCATCATGTTGACGTCACTGGTCGGCGTCACATGGGGCGCCTTGTGCAGCGGCTCGTTGGCGTATGGATTGTCCGCCTTGCGCTTGCGATTCATCTTGACCTTGGAGGGGGCAACGCGGTCGGTGAGCGATGGGCCGCCACTGACAGAGGAGGGACATGTACATTTGTGTGTTGTGTGTGCCTGCAGGTGTGTCCGGTGTGTTGTTGAGTGTCTTGTGCGTGGCCTCACCCGTTGGCCTGGTTGTTGGCGAGTATGCGAGTGATGTGACGCTGGATGGTCTCCTCCTCGCCCGACAGATCCACCTGGTACTTGGCCGACAACGCATCCCTGCACACCACACACATACACACGTCAAGACAGATAACATAGATAGACCCTCGTGCACATCCGCATCTCTGTCTGTCTGTCTGTGTGGCCACTTACATGACTTCGGCACACGTGATGTTGGGGCGGTGCTCCGGCTTCGTCTTGCCGATGAACGACCGCACCGCATCGCGCAGCTTCCGCGCGTCCAAGGGCCGCTGCCGGCCCCTCACACCCGTCCCACTCTTGCCAACCTTCTCGCCCCTCTCACCCCTCTCGCTCACACCATCACGCTCCTCCCCCTCTACACCTCCCTCTCCCTCTCCCGGCCCCTCCTCGACACCACCACCACGGCCCCCGTCGGCACTGCCCTCCAAGTGCTTGCGACATATTTCGTCCACGTCACGCAGCTGCGGCACCTTGAGGCGCTTGGCCAGCTGAGCGCGGTACGCCAGTGCCTCCCGCAGTCCCTTGCCGGAGATCTCGAAGCTCTTGCTGTCGCGGACTCGGTTGTCGTCTCCACGCATGATGACCCGCAGCTTAGAGCGCTCGTTGTCCTTCTGGATGCCGAACTGGCTGCTCTTCTTGACCGTATCCTTGAGCTCTTGCAGACACGCCAGCACCGCGGCTCTCGTCGGCTCGGCGCCGCTGGAGGCCGATGCCGCCGCTGCGGCTGCCGCTGCTGGTTTGGATTGTTTCTTGTGTTTTTGGTTTGGGCGGGAGATGGGTTCTTGTTTGGGTGGGGGAGGGGGTGGGGGCGGTGGCTGGCAGTCAGGGCGGCCGCGAGCAGGGCGGGGGCCGATGGGGAGGTCGAACGGCGAGAGGAGGGAGCGGACGGGGGACTCCTGCACGAAGCCATACACGCAACAGGACACGAGGGAGGGAGGGATGTGACATTATGCTGTGCTGTGCTGTGCTGGCGTCTCTACGTACCCTGACGAATGGCTGCCAGTCTCGTTTGTCCGGCCACTTGTTCCAGTCCTCGTCGGCGAGGAGGTCCTTGGTCCGGTCCCAGTCCAGCTTGCGCAGGCCATGCTGCTCCGCAACCTCATTGCGATACGACAAACAACGGCTGACACACGGACAGACAGACACAGACACATGTGGGCGAAGGCGTCTCCGTGTGTCTGTCTGTCTGTCTGTCTGTGTGTCCGTGTTGCTCACCGGAGTGCACCCCTATACCAGCGGTCGTCCACACGGAAGTCCTTGACCACCTCACCAACTTTGAAGCTGAAGCCCTCATACGGGCCCTCACTGCATCAACCCACCCACACAAACAACACACATGAGGGAATGCCAACCCATCCTCCCTCCCTCAGCTCTCTCACTCACTGACCTGTCACCCCGGTTGATCATGGGGAATATGGCCAGCTCGGACGCGTTGGTCGACGGCGTCCCGTGGCCCCTCAGCTCCTCCACCAAACGCTCACTCAAACTCGCCCACAGCGCCTTCTGCTGGGTGCAGCTCACGGCGGCCTCGATCTCCTCACGCTCAGGCCCACCATCCGCACCACCACCAGCCGCAGCAGCCGCAGCAGCCGCAGCGTTGCCGGCATGGCGACCGGCGCCGTGCGCAGACGACGGCACCTCTGGCTGCTTCTCCTTGGCGGTCTGCTTCTGCTTCTGCTTCGGCTGGTGCTCCTGGTGCTCGTTTTTAGCCTCGCGCTTGACCTTGACACGGTCGCGGGGCGACGGTGCTGGCGACACAGCCGGTGACCCCCGTGCCGCTGAAGCACCGGCCCTCTTGCCCTTCTTGCCTCCCCCAGCCCCCGGCAACGCGCCTTTGAAGCCGCCCCTGTTCTTGGGGTCGCGGATGCTCCAGTCGATCTCCTCAAACACAGCGGCACACTCGGCCTCGTCGAAGAGGGGAAGGCCGAGCTTCTTGGCATGCTGGTTGCGCAGCTTGATGGCCTCCATGGCCGCCGCAGTGGTGTCGTTGCCCTCGACTTGGACGTTGGTCGACGGGGGGGCGTTCTCACGTGAGAAACCCACACGGAACGCTCGCGTGGCGCCATTGCGACCGTACACACGATTGACGCTGCACCAACACAACACAACACCACAGACGGTGGAGGTGCCACTCTCTCTCTCTCTCTGTGTGTGTGTGTGTGTGTGTGTGTCGTGCCTCTGACTTACCCCACGGGAAACGCCCGTCCGCCCTCCTTGGGTATGGGCAGGAGGTCGCTGAGGAGCTCGTAGAAGGTGGCCTTTTGCGGTGCGGGGGGTGGGGGTGGGGGTGGGGGTGACAGGTTGGGC